GCGGTAATCCCCATTGAGACGACAACACCGACCTATCGGATAACTGAGTACAACGAGGAGACAAACGATGAAGCGCGCTTGCTGGAATTGGAGTTGTCACAAGAAAGGCGCGAGTTGGCAGCTATCAGGCTGGCCGCAATGAAAGAGCAGGTAGCCAAGTACCACAACGCGAAGCTGGTTCCACATAAATTGATCCTTGGTGACCAAGTGCTACGGCGGAACTTCCGTCCCGACCCTAGACACGGGAAGCTCGCATCAGTATGGGAGGGTCCGTACCTAATCCGCGAAGTGGTCGGCGCCAGCACATTCAAACTCAGCGAGTTGGGGGGCAACAAGATTCCAAGAACATGGAACGCGCAAAATCTAAGGAAGTACCACCAGGCAAGTTAGCATGTATCTCATTGGCAATAGCGCATTAGCGCAAAGAAATAAAAGGACATGGTTCGTCGGAACAAAATTGGCAATAGTTCAGCACTATCTGCGCTCACTCAGTTCTACGGAACAAAAAATTAGAATAGTCCAGCACTATTCGCACCCATTCAGTTCCACGGAACAAAATAGGCAATAGTCCAGCACTATCTGCGCTCACTCAGTTCTACGGAACAAAAAATTAGAATAGTCCAGCACTATTCGCACCCATTCAGTTCCACGGAACAAAATAGGCAATAGTCCAGCACTATCTGCGCTCACTCAGTTCTACGGAACAAAAAATTAGAATAGTCCAGCACTATTCGCACCCATTCAGTTCCACGGAACAAAATAGGCAATAGTCCAGCACTATCTGCGCTCACTCAGTTCTACGGAACAAAAAATTAGAATAGTCCAGCGCTATTCGCACCCATTCAGTTCCACGGAACAAAATAGACAATAGTCCAGCACTACTCACGCCCATCGAGCCTGAAAACAAAAATCAGAACAGTTCCGCGGTACCGCGCTATCGCGCTCACTCGATAAGCAAAAACATATAAGCGAAGACAGATAAGCGCACTAGCAATTGAGTGTCGTAAAAAGATAGTTTTTGGATTTAGTCAATCGGGAGCACCATAAAGGTTCAACGCCGCAGTTACACTTGACAAAAGGTAAAAAGTCAAAAGCAAAAAAAAAAAAGATGCGCGATTACATCTTCTGCACACCCTCCGAGCCTGTCTTACGACGCAGCAAAGGCTGGGAATCCTCCTCATCCTCCTCATCAGTAGTCGCCCCGTCAGCTTTCTTTCCGCCACTACTGGCGCCCACATCCTTCTCCCTATCCTGATGTCCCTCTTCTTCCTGACGTCCCTCCTCTTGACGTTCCTCCTCTTCTTCCTCCTCCTCCGACTCAGAGTCCGACTCCAGTGGCCTTTTCTCGTTCAACCATGTTTTCACATGCGCGACCATGGCACGCGTGTCCCACTGATAATCAGGATTCTCCGGGCGCACCTTCTTGCCTACGGCGATCACAGCCTTAGTCATCGCGTTCGCGATAATCTTCCCAAATGGCATGGAAGACTTGTACTGGCGGACAGCAATGGCTTGCGCCTCACGAACCGCCTCCGCCTTAGCAACATCATGGAGGTGCACCAGATCCCTCTTCTCCTTCGCGAACTCTTCTCGAGCCCGCTTCAACTTGTCTGCGGCATCAGACACCAGCTCCTTCTTCTCCCGCTCCTTCTCGTCCAATAGACGCTTCCGCTCCACCTCAAACTCCGCCCGCAACTCCGCCCTGACGGTCTCCCTTACGGTGTCCATCTGATCCGCCAACTTACTCTGCAGGACGCCGAGCTCCACCAGCGCGTCATTGGCTTTTGTGGTGGCCAACTCCGCGCGTCCTTCAGCGCCAGCAAGCTTCCCCTCCAGCTGCTCAATCCGAGACTCCTCGGATCTCAACTTCGCGCGCTCACGTCCCCGCTCCTGTTGAGCGCGAAAGGTCGCCAGCAAGCCCTACAAACACAACGCAGTAACACTTAGGAAATTTCTGATGGGAAAGTAACAGTTCATACTTGACAGAAAACCTTACCGCGAAATGGATCTGAGCCAGGTCCATGAGCGGATCAGACTTTTCCATGCGGGACGGAACGCCCAAAAGAGGACCCAACGCCCGCAGTGCAACATTCGCGGACGCAACGTTGCACGCGGCACCCGTATGAAACCGGACGTCGCGGAAGTAGTCGATGGCCCCCCCGGCCATCTGCGGCAGCTGTTGTTGGCTCCCGGCCCCAGACGAGCTGCCAGAGGCGGCCCTATCAGGCCGAGCGGTGCTTGCTACGCGCGGAGCATGCTCCGCAAGCATCAGAGGTACGCGCGGCGTCACCGTCGCCTCCTCTGCCGCTGGTTCAACAATGCGCACCGCCTTCGGCGCCTTCCCCACAAAGGTTGGCTGCTCCGCGGCCTTCCTTTTCTCGCCCTTCTTCCCAGCAGCCTGCGCGCCTTCTCTTGCCTTCTTCCTCCCGGCGCGAGGAGCCTTCACAACTTCATCGACCGACATCATGCTGGCCAGGCTAGAGAAATCAACACCTGCGCCAATAAATAGTAAGAGGACAGTTAATAATAAAGAATACAAAATGAAATAGGTACCAACTAACCATCGGCAAAGAGTTCGGCCAAGCAGGCCTCGCGGACTCCAGCCAAGTACAGATTGAACTTCTGAAGCAAGCACGCCTCATACTCCCGATCAAGCCCGGGGTATTTGCCCAACTCCGACTCGTAGGCGTGCGTGCCACCCTTCATCCAAGTAGTCGGCTCCGCAACATACTCACTCGCCCATTCCCCGGGAGTGGGCTTCACGTAAAAGAAACGCTCGAACCAGGTCTTTGGCAGCTTAGGTGAGCCGTACACAAAACCGTCAGGCCTGTTGTCACGGCGCTTGATTGAGAGACAGTCACTAGTTTTCGTGGGCTCCTTGATCTTGTAAAATTTCCGGAATAACCCGTAAGTGGGCGTAATCTTGAGCCGCTTGCACGCCGTTCTAAGGCAACTCGCGTGCATAATCACTGAGGGAGATAGCCGCGCGATTGAGCACTTGAGCCGCCTGTATAAGGCGCACAACAGGGGATCGATGGGAAATTTAAATCCCATCACCCAGTACTCCGTGTAAACGCCGAACCACCCTGGGGGGCAGTTCCCAACCATGCTGCGCACAGAAGGTACGGCGTACTGCCAGCTGGGGGGCAACCCTAACCCACGCACGATCTGCTCCACATCCTCGCGCCCATAAATCGAGGCGTGGTCAGGCCCACGGAGAAGGTTGTCATGTGGGGCCGGCTGATCGCCCCACATCTCGGCCCAATCCAAAACCGTGTAGATCGCGCCAATGCCCTGGAACCCTAGCCGGCTCATCGCTTCTGACACACGGACATGGTAAAGAGGCTCCGATTGTGTTTCTGATCCATCGCGCGCCTCAGAAGTCGCCCCGCCAGATCTTCCGTCATGCGTACGCCTGATTATTAGAACCCCACTAGAACCCGCCGCCCCACTACCCGACGGAACCATATCGGCGTTAGAGGACTCTTGAAAGCCCCTGCCGGAATCGACGTTGGCCGACGGCGATGCCGAAGCCCCCTCGTCATCACTAACACCGTCGTCGATATTCACATCACCGTCGTCCCTGTTGCCGGAATCGGCCGGGTCCGACTCAAGTCGGGTAGAAGTAGGTGAGAAAGAAAGAAGATTACCTTCTTCGCCCTGCACGACCTCGGTCTCATTCATGTTGGTGCTATCCATGGCAATACCTTGAGTAGCAGTAGCAAATGGCAGACTTGAGGTTGTAGAAGAAGAAGAAGAATCTCAGAAAAACAGAGAGATGGAAAAGCTAGAGAGCAAAACGTGAGGAATGAAAGATGTAAAGAAACCCCGAGAGCAGCCGTATATTTATAGGTGATGATGGGAAGTCGAGGGGGTTAAAGGTCATCGAGAATCGCAACCGTCAGAGGATTTTGAAATTCAAAAGGCCGCCAGGGTTGACCAATCGCGTAGCGACACGTGGCAGACTCCAATCCCAATCAATCATGACGAGCATAGGCGCTAGTCGTTGACGTCACGAATGACGCGCAACGCCTGGGGGGCATGACACACCCGCAAAGGAGAAAACCCCACCCTCAAAAAAATATACTCAAAGAGAACCCCGCGGAAACCGCGCCCACAAGACAACCGCGCCTCACCTCGCAACGAACGGAGGAACCTCAAGATAGTCGCGCGATCACGATGCTCTCAAAGTGCACAGGACGTAGCCCGCCGTTTCTCGCGAAGCACGGGGATCTGAGTCAACAGAGCGGAGATCTCAACAGGAGGCGTTCAAGAAACACCCCCTGTGGGGGGCAATTGTTGGGCATATGACTCGGATCGTCCCCGCGCCAAAGGAGCATATCGGACCGCGCGACACAACCGGCGACGCGAAGACCTTGCGCGCGGTAAGGGTAAAGCTACACGCGCGAGTGTGAAGATCGTCCCCGCGCCAAGAGAACATATCAGACCGCGCGACGCACCCGGCAGCGGGAAGACCTTGCGCGCGTCAAGGGTGAAGCTACGCGCGGGAGTGTGAAGACCAGGCGTCATAACCGCAGAGGGCGTCATTGCGTTTCCCGAGGGAAGGTCACGTCAAGACTTTAGGTGCAATCATAGACAACCCTCTGACAAGTCCTAGGTTAAGGGATGGCCTAAATCCCTGACACATCAGTAGTCACGTCGTTGTACCGTCTCGCAGTCCACCCTCTCACCCACCAACATGTAGCCTATAAATATGGCATTTACTCCGGTGGGTGAGGGGATCGCATTTTTTCACCACTCTCTCTCTACAATAACAGCTTATCCCTCTAATATCCCTTCTCTTGCTCTCCCTCAACTCCCCAGTCTTTGACTTTCCGATCATACCCAATACTTGCACTTCTTCTTGACCCCAATTCTCACTCGAATCTAACTCCTACACTCAGTTAGGTTCCAACAGAAACTTATACCACTTACTAGCTCTGCCATACGAGTCTTCCCATTTAAGACTTCCTGCAGCTGCCTAGACTGAAAAGTCGAGACCAAATCTCTCTGACAGTCGAGATGATCTTTGAGTCCCAAAGAGAGAGAGGAAATCCCAAGCAAAAAATGGACAAAAACCCAAGTGATCTCCAGGCTCCATTAATCGTCCTCTCCTCCACAGAACAGAGCTCGAGACAGAGTAGGTTCAGCAGGGATGAGATTCTGGAAGAAGTGAAGAAGCAGCTATGGCTTGCAGGCCCACTCATCTCCGTCAACTTCTTCACCTACCTTCTGCAGGTCATCTCCGTCATGTTCGTCGGCCACCTCGGCGAGCTGCCCCTCGCCGGCGCCTCCATGGCCACCTCCTTCGCCTCTGTCACCGCCATATCTCTTCTAGTAATTAATAACTCACGCACGATTTTACTGAAATACCAATTCTTCCCAATAACTGCGCGAAAAACAATTAGAACTTCTCTGTGACTTGCGCAGGAAGGAATGGCGAGTGCACTGGAGACGCTATGCGGGCAATCGTACGGAGCGAAGCAGCACCACCTGCTCGGGGTCCACCTGCAGCGCGCCATGATCGTCCTCCTCCTCGCTGCGATTCCCCTGTCTTTCGTCTCGGGCTACGCCGAACCGATCCTCCTCTGCTTCGGCCAGGATCCGGAGATCGCGGCCGAGGCAGGGGAGTACGCGCGGTTCGTGATCCCGAGCGTATTCGGGCTCGCGATCCTCGAGCCGCACGTCAGGTTCCTGCAGTCGCAGAACAATGTGGTCCCGCTGACGGTGACGGCCGGAGCCGCCACTCTGGTCCACGTCTTTGTGTGTTGGGCTCTGGTTTTCAGGTCCGGGCTGGGAAGCAGGGGTGCGGCTCTGGCGAATGGGGTTTCTTACTGGATCAATGCTTTGACGTTGTTTGTCTATGTGAGGGTTTCTCCTACTTGCAAGGAGACTTGGACTGGTTGGTCTAGAGAGGCGTTTCAGGGGATTCCGGAGTTCGTTAGGCTAGCCATTCCTTCTGCCATTATGCTGAGGTAAAAGACTAGAAAACAAAGAAAAGTTTTCTGTAGTAGATAAGAAAGCTCAAAATTTGACCACGGGCATCTCATAAAGCATACCGGAAAATACAGTGACGGGTAAAAGAGCACCGATAGAAAATAACGAAGTTGAAAGATGGGAAGCAAGGGAGTGACAGGAAACATGTTGTACCGAGTTGGTAACCGTTGCTATGAGGAGCAGTTATCAAAATATTTTTAATGGATTATGTTAGCACCCTATTCGGTTCCTTTGACGAATCGATGTATGTTAGCGTCACTGAACACACCCTTTGTGCATGTGTATATATACAGCTTGCAGACTTGGTCGTTTGAGATGATGGTTCTGTTGGGTGGCTTGCTTCCGAACCCAAAGCTCGAAACTTCTGTTCTGTCCATAAGGTTTTAGTTACTACTTACTACATACAACATATCCACTACAGCAAAAATCGCCATAAGAAGTTGTAACTTCTTTTCATGGGAATTTTTGCAGCCTGAATACAAGTGCAATGATCTTCACGATATCATTAGGGCTTAGTGCTTCCGTGAGGTGAGATTTTACACCATCACATATGATTAGTTAGCCACTGATCTGCAGCATGTATTTTACTAATTTGCTGTCCCTTTATTTTGGGTTATTTCTGCAGCACAAGGGTTTCAAATGAGTTGGGAGCTGGGAGGCCAAGAACAGCGATTCTAGCGGTAAATGTCGCGCTGGCCATGGCGATGACGGAATGGATTCTGGTCGGGATCGTCCTGGTGTCTGGCCGGAACGTCTGGGGTTACTTGTACAGCAAGGAAGAGAGAGTAGTGAAGTACGTTGCGAAAATGTTGTTGCTGATTGCAGCTTGTCACTTGTTCGATGCCATCCAAGCCGTGCTCTCAGGTGTGTTCATCGAGAAATCGCTCTTCATTGTGCGATAGCATCCATCGTTTTCGTAGTTTGCTTACTAGCTCGATCCTGTGTTTCTTGATGAGCAAGGCATTTGCAGGGGATGTGGAAAGCAGAAGCTTGGAGCTGTTATCAACTTAGGTGCATACTATATGATTGGAATTCCTTGCTCCATTCTACTAGCTTTTGTCTACCGTATTGGAGGAAAGGTACATCATACCATTTTACTCGATAATCCCTCGCTTGGTTCGGTATCGTTATCTGAACGATGATTATTTAACGGTACCAATATCGCGTAGTTGTCACTTGCTACCAGTAGAAAACTTTTTAATTTTTGGTCATAATGTGCTTTCGTGGCAGGGTCTGTGGATAGGAATCATTATAGCAGCGATCTTCCAAGCATTGTTTTTTTCAGTAGTGACTGTAAAAACTAGTTGGGAGAAAGAGGTAATAATGTAATATAGTTAACTCCATTGCTGACTTTCATTTGGTCACCTTCGTATTCCTACATTTTCTTATGAAACTATCATGCATGCATGAACGTTAAATCAGGCAAAGAAAGCCAAGGACAGAGTATATGGTGCCATCATTGAAGAACAAGGTCATGCATTGTCGTAGAAGATCAGTTTGATCAAAGACTGGTAATGGCAGCGGCAGCAGATGCATCTTGTGAAGGATAGCGTACTTTTTTTTTATAAGGGTGATATATGTTTGTGTTTAATGTTATGGACTACTTTAGAGTTTTGAATCTAAAACCTTCATCCTGAGGAGCTAAACCAAACTCTTGTTACCAATCTCTATAATTATTATTTTTAAAACACAACCCTAATAATATTTTATGAAGAATTGTTACGACTCTATTATCATAAAACAAGGAAAAGATAGGATTTTAATTAGAGGTGGCAATTGGATCGGATTCGTGGATTCGTGGATTGGATTGGTGGATTCATGGATCAAATGGATTGGATCCAATGGATTGGTGGATTCATGGATTGGATCAAATGGATTGGTGGATTGATCCATGAATCCAAATGACATCCAAAGCATGGACCAAAATGTAAATTTTGAAAAGTTTAGGTACTAAAATGCCATAATGAAAAATTTTAGGTACCAAAATGTAATTTTCCAATGATTTTTTTCGTATAAAAATATAAATTTTAGGTACCAAAATGTAAAACAAAAAAATATAGGTACCAAATCGTAATTTGCCATTTGGATCATGGATTGATCCATGAATCCACAAATCCAATTGGATTTGGATCAAATGGATTGGATTTAAATGGATTGGATTAAGTGGATAATTTGGTGGATGGATTGGATTGGATTCATGGATTTGGATCCTAATTGCCACCTCTAATTTTAATTTCCTCTAGATTCTACTTATTAGCTATCACTGAAAGTATACAAATCAGAAATCACCCTAATTATTGTATACCCACATAATCCATCCAATTGCTCCACGCCAATAACACCTATAGCTGCCAAAACCTATAACTAAAAGTACTGAAACGAGCACCGGAAAAGCTTCATGTACTCAATTGAAAACATATTATGTTCTGCCCCAGAAACAAAAAGGACAAGCAGCTCTGTCTCTATAATCTATGGAGGAGTTTCTCAGCTGGCTGCCGCTTACTGAATCTAATCTCAAAGCCAGTAGTCCAAGCGTTCCCCTTCACTGCTGCCGTCTGGCATTCCGGCCATGTCGAGCCAATGAAATGGATTTACCACCACATCATAATTTCAAAAGTAGCACAAACTCCAGACTATCATCTAATCCAAATGTGGGAGGGACACAGTAAGGCTGTTGCCTTGGTTCACTCACTAGGCCTTTTGCTTCCCTTTCCTCAGTTTCTCTAGCTCTGACTCTGCATCTTCCAATTTCTTCTTAAGACTGGATACCCTTTCTTCCATATCTTCCACTGTTAAATTTCCAGCTGAAGGTTGATGCGGTGTCAGGAACCGGCTTGAAAAGTTCTTCAGAGCTTCGACTCCAGTGACCTAATAAAATCCAGGAAACAGCAGCAATAAGAACGTATCACAGCAAGTGAACAGCGTTCAAGTTTTATATATCAAATGATTACGCTTGTTGAATACCTCCTCTGGTAACAATGGCAGCTTGGTGATGTGGAAGTCATCATATAACATGTAGAACTGATCAAGGTACTTCTGCTGCATCCGCATTCTTGCTTTTAGCAATTTGGATTCAACATCTGTAGGATATAAAAAAAAACCCGAGAACGTTAAGGACTAAGCTTGTTGCTTCGAAGCGAATGACACTAATAAGCAATGGAAGGTAAATGCAAAGTCAGGCGCACCATCTTCATTGTAAAGCACTTGGTTGATGATAATGTTATGCGTGTCGATTTCAAACTTGGTAAGTTCCTGGACCAATCTCTCTGTTTCATAAAGAGATAGGAACTCTGGAATGCAGACACACACGAATGTGGTCATGTCCTGCCAATAAAAAGTAGATAATTGAATCAACAAAAAGAAATGGCTTAATCTGTTGCTAAAAATTTCAGATGTCAGATAGAATGCTGAAATTTGGGTGATAAAGAAAGAGTCAACAAGCAGCAGAATCCTGATCACTAATCAGCCCACATTAACAGGTTCATCAAGGAAAAAATAAGTAGTTATGTTCTACTATATCCAAATTAACGACTCACACGAAACACGATTAAGAAGATAACTGGTAAGCTCTGTATGTGTCTGCAACAAACTTAGGCATTAGGGAAGCAGATACTTCATCAATTGCTATGTCCTTCCATGTGCAAGCCCCTCATAGTAACATCAGCAATAGTGCACCTAACCAATCGTGCCTTAAATACGACCTTTTCTACAAAATGGATACCTTTCCCTACACAAATACATAATTGGCCAAGAAAGATTTTACGTTGCCACAATGCTCCAGGGTTAACCTTGGTGTGTGAAGTGCTGCTATTTTGAATGAAAAAAACAGTGATGCTTTACCGTTGACAGGTCAGTATCCTATTCTGAAACTAAGTTTCCTCTTCTAGCTCATTTCACTCAAGACTAGTTGCCATGCACGCCCATAAGGGGAAACAGTTCTTGACAGAGATCCTAGAAGGGGGTCAATAGATGCAAATGAAACAGGGTAAAGATTCATGATTTTATCAGGACCCTGCCTGTCTTGAAGTGCCTGACATTGCCTCCTTTCAATCAAATGGTATTCCTAAGAACAATTGTAAGTTCCACATAACATCAAGGTTCAACTACACAATAGAGGAATTCCAATCTCCGACTCCACCAACTTGTCATGAAAGAGACACTTGGCAATCAACCAACTAGAGTGTGATAAGTGATGTCTTACTGGGTCTTTGAACTGCCTGTTCACTTGTTCAATTACATCTTTCATGCCCTCGAGTCGCCCCAAAATTGCGTCTTCTCCGAAGTCACCATCAATACCAAACATACGAGTCACCTGCCAAACATTTATTTTCATGAATTACTACGTAAGAATAATGAAATACAAAACAGAAAGAACAGCTGCAGTAGCAAAATAGCATATTTATATATATATATATATATATATATATATATATATGGCGAGTTCTACGGTACCCCGGGTAAAATCCGGGGTACCGCATACCTTGAGTAAAAAAACGCTATCTAGAATTTGAATTGACTGATCTTTAGGACATGATACTATACTCTAATCCATAAAGATCGAAATATAGGTCTTAATTCACTTAATCTTATACCCCAAGATCAATTTAGTTAGAAATAATAATCGACGGTTATGATTCGTCCAAATACAGGCAAAAAAATCAATGCACCATCTTAGAGTTTATAGTTTATGATTTAGATAATTAGGACGTAGGGTTCACTCATTAAGGGTTAGGGTATAGTATCATGCCCAAAAACCCTGCTAATTCGAGGTCTAGATAGCGTTTTCATACTCAGGGTATGCGGTACCCCGGATTTCACCCGGGGTACCGTAGAAGGCACCATATATATATATATATATATGGTGGCTACTTCGGTGCACTAAGTGCACCCAACTCTAAAAGTGTCCATAATACATCAAATTTTGAATTTCAATTAGTACTCTCAATCTAATATGATGATATGGCATAGAATCATAACAAATCAATCTATTACCCTAACCCCTTAACCTTCAATTTTGAATCCCAACCCAAAATCCCAAATTGTAAACCTAAACCCTAACCCTAAATCCTTCAAATTAAAGTAAATTTTGAATGATTTTTCCCCCCAAATTCATGTGCTTCTTGTTCATAATATCATAAGCAACAATTGATACCGTTTTGACATGAATCACATGCTCAGAATGATAATTATGAAAATAACAGACATGAACATTAATGAGAACAGATTACAGTTCCATGAAGCAGTGCAATGTAAGGTTGGGTCTGAGCATTTGCCAGAAAGGAAAGTGCAACTAAAAACTGAAAGATAGAAAGAGAGGACATAAAGGAAGAACACAGAATAACACTCCATGAGGTAAAACTTTCACAGCAAAAGAGGATCACAACCTAGAATTACAAAACTCAGGTTTAAATTGGAAGAAGAAAACACCAACACTGGTAGAAGAACAGAAGATAGCACAACATAAAACAGCTCAAGAAGGGGAAAATCATCCTGAACTGATAAAAGAACAGTTAGAAAAAGCATAAGGATCAAACATCAACAATCATATTGCTATCAGAAATAAAATATGCCAACACCTGAAGTCTATAGTATGCAAGAAGCAGCAACACCTATTGAACCATAAAATGAAGTGTATGAATCAAACTAATTCACCCACTGCATGCTTAGATAACATACTCGATGTTATAAGTGAGATAGAACTTGACTCTGTAGTGCGAGTTTAATATGGTTCCAAGAGCATCAAGTATTCTCTAACATTCAGATATCTACCACTCTTATTATTAAATATTAATCAGATATTATAAAACCCACGGCCATCAAGATGTTATTAGTCACATCAAAGATATACCTGGGTCAACAATCCACCAAATCGATGTTTTAAGGACATCATTTTCTGAAGACCTTTCTCCAACGTCGAGGGAAATTGTAGTAGCCGGAGAGTGTGACCAGTTGGGGCGGTATCAAACACAATAACACTATAATCCATTGTTTGAACCAACCTACAGAAAATCAATTAGCGGGAATGCATTAGAATTAGGTAGGAAACAGTGCTCCACATGCCAAGATGCCGCATCAAATTTTATTCACAAGCAGAGGAAGAGCAGGCACACTCCAGTAAAATCATATGGTTAATCAATTGAAGGTTGGCTGATGTGCATCAATATGAGTTCTTACAGTAGGTGGCATGTACAGCTTATGACCTATTTTCTTATAAATTACCATATTGAATCCACAAATCATTCAAGGAAATATACACAAATTAGCTCAGAATGATATTGCTGACAACTAGGGTGAAACATCACTATCAAAGTAAAATTGACACAATAACTTAGCTCTCTGAAAAACCCATTAAAATGTCAAGACTCTTTTCTGATGAAAGATCAATAACCATTCAAAAGCTACAAAGCCTTCAGCTTTTTTCTAATTTCCTCATTCATTATTACAATTGGACTCCAATGGAAGTGCTAGTAGTAGCAAACTTACTTCAACATTTCCGCAAAGCTCATGGCTTCATCAATACCAGGGATTGCGTTGGCTAGTTCAGAGAACAAAGTATCCATCTCCTCGTTGCCACCCACCTCTTCACTTTCAACAGTGGGATCCACCTCCTGTTATGAACCCATACCAAAAAATAAGAACAATTAGACTTTGAAATTTTTGTGATAAATGACTTCGAAAATACCAGTAAAAGCCACATTAATTATATCGAAATCAGAGCGTTGGGCTCTCATCATTTCCCTCTCACATCAACGCATTCATCAGAATCATTCTCTCTATCAAAATTCAAATCGAACGAATTCGGGATCCATACTGCACCAATTCTGCCACCCGGACACCATGTAGAGCCAAAAGAAGGGGGAAACAAAGGGGAAGTACCATAGCGTAGAGATTGGTGAAGCCATTGACCAAAGACGGCGACTTGGTGAAGCGCTGTTGGAAAGCATCGCTGAGATTGTGAGCCGGATCAGTGGATATGATCAAAACCGACGATCTGACGCTGGCCAGAAGAATGGAGAGGATGGAGCTGCAAGTGGTCTTCCCGACTCCGCCTTTCCCTCCGACGAAAACCCACTTGAGAGTTTCTTGATCCAGTATATTCCGCACTGTCCCTTCCGGTATTTCTCCATTATCTGCCATATCCCCTTCTTCCTCCTCTGCCGCGAAAAGAATATGGCTCCGATTTCAAGCTTCAGAACACGGAACTCGCATGCATACAAACCCGAACTATGCCACGACAGTGCTGGGCACGGGAGAAAGGGAGGGAGTGAGGAACTGTAACACTCCGGCCCGGTCAATGGATTAATCTCCACCAGGAGAGAATCGGGAACGAGAGGAACGAGATTGCGAATTGGGGTCCTGTTATTCGATGCTTCTCATTAGAGCAACAATCCCCAATTTATAGAGCACAAATTACAGAATGATCCCTCATCGGCGTTTTACAAAAGAATCCCCAAACTAATGTTTTCTTATAATTGGACCAACTCCGTCCATTAGGGGTGGAAATCGGTACGGTAACCATATCGGTATCCCAATATCGAATTACATACTAAATCAATCACAATGTTATGGCGCGAAGGTGTTGTAGTGCTTTTCAAGCTAGAGCTCGAAGTGGAGGGGAAGTAGTTGATCAGATTAAACATGATATATACCTCTTCAGTTTGGGAAACAGGGAGGTTGGGCAAGTAATTACTATGTCATGTTTTGCGGATTTAGCTAATGTAAGGCTGTAAAGTGTGGATTAATATCATAGTAGATTAGCTGAATTTTTTTTTTTTTTTTTTTGTCGAAAAGATAGCTTGTATTAAACAAGAACACAAAGTTACAAGGCCTGTGACCTAAGCCACCCACAAAAATCAAACCCATTACAACCCGCAGGAAACAAAGACAGGGCCTTCTTAGCCACCATATGGGCTACCCTATTGTTCTGTCTACCCACAAATCGCACCCTAAATCCTGGGGACATCAAAAGAAGCCGGCGAATTTCCTCAAACAGAGCACCACCAGCAGCAGCACAAACATCCCCAGCATTAACCTTGTCGATCACAATCTTGGCATCCCCCTCAAACGTAACAGCCTCATAGCCACGATGTTGACACCACCGCATCGCATCCCGCAACGTTGACAATTCCACAAGCATCGGATCTTGCAGACCGGTGAACATCAGCCCGTGTGCCGCAAACACCGCTCCCCCTGCCTCTCGTAAGACCACCCCACCTGCCGCATGGGTCCCGTCACGGACTGCCCCATCAAAGGAACATACCACACCGTCCACAGAACCAGCAGCCATCGTAGGCTGATCAGTACCACGACCCACTGAAGGCTCACCCACACCGTCCCCCTCCCCCTGGGGAAGATGCTCCCATTCGGACACTTGATGTAAAAACTCTTGTCGGAGAATACTCGGGAGAGTCTGCTGTCCCTCAAAGACCACAGAGTTCCTCCCCTTCCATATCCTCCACAGTACACACATCAAGCGCACAACACGCATTGGTGACCCATCTCTCTCCAAAAACCGCCTAAAAAATACGTTAAAACTTCCCACCGCCAAAACCTCAAGCTCAGCAGCCAACCCTGCGGCGTCCCACAATCCTCGCGCCACCGGACACTGCAGAAAGAGGTGCTCGGTGGACTCCTCCGGCGCCCAGCACACTGGACACCTCTCAAGGACCTCGACCTTTTTCTCACGCAATGCCTCCATCGTTGGTAGGATCCGCCGCAAAAGCTCCCACGCAAAAAACTTGAGCTTCGGCTGTACTGGGATACCCCAAACCTTAATCCAAAGCGTTCGATCCAACGTGCTACATTCCGCTTTGCCTCCCCACCCACGACGGGACTTACACTCAGCTAACCTGTAACCGGACTTAACCGTATAAACCCCCGAAGGGTCCTCCCTCCAAACCAATCTGTCCGGTAATGCCATCCGCGGTAACGGGATTTGAAGAATGCCTCGAATCGTCTCTTGATCAAATGCCGAATTCAAACAATCCATACACCAGTTTCCTGATTCCGGATTGATCAGATCCGACACCATCTCAGTACCCTCCAGTGGCGCCCCCATCTGCAAACCAGGCGTTGAAGGATGGATTAACGGAATCCAACCTTCTGACATAACTGGTATGGTCTCCCCCGATCCAATCTGCCAAGTCATCCCCCGCCGTAACAATTGACAGCCAAACAACACCCCCTGCCATCCCCAGGATGGACGGGATCGCCGAGTGGCCGTGAAAATCGAGCCCGTTGGAAAATATTTGGCTTTATAAATCTGCGCTAACAGGGATTGTGGCTCTGAATGGATCCGCCAAGCCACTTTCGCCAGAAGAGCCTGGTTAAAAAGCTCAAAACGACGAAAACCTAAGCCACCCTCATGCTTACTCCGACAAAGCCTCTTCCAAGACACCCAATGACTCTTTGGGCGACCCTCGACAAAGCCCCACCAAAACCGAGCCATATGCTTATCCAAACGCCTACAAGAAGTTGCAGGAATCTTGAAACAAGCCATCGCATGTACCGGTAGGGCTGCCGCCACTGCCTTTAGCAAAGTTTCTTTCGCAGCCGGAGACAAATGTCGTTGCTTCCACCCTTGAATTTTTTGGAGAAGCTTTTCCTCCAAAAACCTAAAGGTATCTGCCTTCGAACGGGCAATCAAGGAAGGTAGACCCAGGTATTTATCCTGAACACCAATCGCCCCCACCCCTAACAGCTCCGCCATCTCCTGCTTCTCTTCCACCTCAAAGTTCGCACTAAAGCAGACAGCCGATTTATCCAGATTCACCTTCTGCCCACTTAGTGTTTCATACTCATTCAGCACCTCTAATAGATCTTCGCACCCTTGCAGTGACGCTTTGAAGAACAGATAAGAGTCATCGGCAAAAAAGAGATGAGTAACCCGTGGAGCCCTAGGGCTCACGCGTATCCCCTCAATTCTCCCCCTCGCAATTGCCTGTCTAAGTAAGGCCGCAAAACCCTCCGTACATAAAACAAACAGTAACGGCGACAAAGGATCGCCCTGACGCAGCCCCCTGGTGGCCCGGAAAAACCCAGCCGGTTTACCATTCATCAAAACCGAGAAAGTCGATGTCGACACACATTCCCTAATCCACTCGATCCACACTGGGCTAAAACCCAACTTTTTTAAGACAGCCAGTAAGAACGACCACTCCACTCTATCATAGGCCTTTTCCATATCAACCTTCAGAGCGGCGTACCCTTTCTTCCCTTTCTTCTTAATTTTTAGGTAATGCATTATCTCATGCCCTATAAGAACATTATCAACGATCTGTCGTTCCCGAATGAAAGCATTTTGTCCCGGCGAAACAATGTCCGGTAGAAAGCTCGCCATCCTTTCCGCCATAATCTTAGATATGATCTTGTAGACAAACTGACAAAGACTAATCGGTCTTAGTTGGCGCATGTGTTCAACTTTGTCCACCTTAGGGATCAACGTGAGCCACGTATGATTAAAGCTACGCAAAATACGCCCATTCGCAAAAAATGAGCGCACAGCTTCAATCACCGAAGGCCCTACAATGTTCCAAAAGGTCTTAAAGAACTTGCCCGTAAAGCCATCCGACCCCGGAGCCTGTGTTGAACCCATACCAAATACCGTACGCCGGATCTCCTCCGGGGTCACCTCTGCCGTTAGGCTGGTGTTCATTTCATCAGTGACCCTCCGTTCTATAGGTAATGCATCCACTTTCTCCCACATGCCTTCATCCTCACATTCCGAGGTAAAGAGGGACGAGTAAAAATTGACTGCCATCCCCGCCTTTGCCTCCTCCTCCTCCACCCATTCTCCTTCCTCACTCAGCAACTTCTCCACAAAATTCCTTCTCCGTCGGGCCCTAGTTACCGTATGGAAGTACGAGGAATTTTGGTCCCCCACCTTCAGCCATCGGACCCTAGATTTCTGCCTCCAATATAGCTCCTCCTCGGCCCATTTCCTGGTAAGGTCTCCTTCCAACCTATTCACCCGGTCCCAATCAATAGGGTATTCCGTTTTGAGGGCAGCAATCTCCGTCTCTAACGTACGAATTTGTCTCGCCGAATTAGAAGTGCCCGCCCTACTCCATTGGTGAAGACGATGTCTCAATCTCTTCAGCCGGATCCACAACCGATACATGGGTGACCCCTGGATGTGTTCCTGCCAGATTTCTTCAACAATCGGCTTCACCTCCGGATTAGAGGCCCATCTAGCGTCAAAACGAAAGAGAGGCTTCGTGGCTCGTTTAAATTCTCTATCCGCGACAATCAGAGCCCGGTGATCCGACCCTAGGTCAGTGCCATGGTTCACAAATGATTCTGGAAATCGCTCCATCCACCGGTCCGATACAAAGGCTCTGTCCAGTCGTTCCTGAATACAAGCGTCCCCCATTCTCCGATTTGACCAAGTGAATGGATTACCACGAAATCCCAAGTCATGCATGCCCAAACCATCAACAAACGCACGAAAAATCTGCGATTGAGCCGGTACCCATGGATTTCCCCCCATTTTTTCATCGGACGACAGGATTCCATTAAAATCCCCTACCATCAAATATGGTACCTGTAATTCCGCACAATAACTGCGTAAATTGTCAAATTGAAGAATACGATCCTGCTCACGACAACTCACATAAACAAAGACTACTACTACATTTATTTCATTAATCCGCAAACTAACCGAAACAAAGAAAGAAGAACTCGACAACACTGAGGCACCGCTCTCAGGGGACCACGCAACTGCCAACCCTCCTGCTGAGTCGACAGCATCGACCAAATAAAAATTGGAAAAACCTAGACCCCGTAGTCTACGAGAGACCACTCTACGACGCGAACGAGTTTCAGAAAGGAAAGTTACATCAGGATTATTGACTCGAACTACTCCTAATAACGACTGAAATGTGATGGACGGCCCAATCCCACGCACATTCCACGCGAGAAGTCTCATTTATCGACCTGGGGCCACTTCCGGCTGGCTTCCTCCACCGTTGCATTCTTGTTCTCAATCTCAGAATCCGGAACATCCTCTAAACAGAGTTTCTTGACCGGAGTAGGGTCCTCTGCAAGATCATCAACCAACCCTGCAGCACGTTTCTTGACCGGAGTTTCTTGACCGGATTAGCTGAATTGCAGGTTGTAAAAGTGTAGTTTTGTACTTGCTGCTTTAGCAGAACTGTATTTTTTCGAGGAAGGCTAGGCTGATTTGGCCTAGCTAAGAGCTATAAAAGTCTCCAACAATTGCGGGGAAAAAAGTTCGTGATATGGTATTTTAGGTTGAAATCGTGGTTTACCTGTGGTTCAACTGTTTCATTACGCTAAATAATATTTATTGGTTTCGCTTTCAATATGAGATTTTTTTGTCACTACCGATAGGGCTGGGCATGCGGGCGAGTTACCCGCGGATTTCGGTCGATCCGTCCGCATTTTACCCGAATTTTGTAATGTGGGTGGGTCCGTGGGTGGGTGACGGGATGTGCTGGGAGGCATCCATCGGGTGCCGGGTGGGTTGTGGGTGACCCGTTCAACCCAACAGCAAAAAAGAACAATGTCGTTAGCACTAGAGAGTGGAGAGTGGAGACGCTGACGGAAACTAGGGATACTCCTGTAGATTGAATCTCAAAGCCAATCTTCTAAATCTCGACTTCCCTCTTCTTCCCTTTATTTTTTTTTTCTTCCCTTTGAATCTTGTGCCCAAATCACCTTTCTTTCCTCCGTTGAATTATATTTCTTAGTTTCCTGCACCCGATAATTATCTTCATCCATACAAAAGTCCTCCATAATAGAATTTCTATTCAATTTCAGAACTAATTTGATTTTTTTTTCTTTCTATTCCATCTTCTTGTTTCCTCCAGATAACTCTCCACCAATTATCTTGTCACTTGAAGTGAATCTCAAATTTGGAGGTTGAATGGATGTTGAAATGGATTTTTATGTTACAAATATTGACATTAGACAGGGGGTTCTGAAATATAAATGGATCATGTCAACTTGACTCCTTTATATTGTGTACACCATGATGATTGATGTGGGTGAACTCGTAAACCCACCGGCATCATCCACCTGACCTAACCCGAGACTAAATGTGGGTGGGTGATGGATTAAAACTTGTCAATTAGTTTAAGTACGAGTGGATGCATTTTATGATCGAAAAGATTTAGGTACGTAATTGGAAATATATTCGGCTCAAGAAATAATAAGGAAACTCAGCTCTATATAGGGATGGCAATTTCGACCTGACCCGATTTACCCGACCTGTTTGACCTGTTTTGGGGCGGGTCAAACCCGCCCCGTAGGCGGGGTGGGGCGGGCATGGGTACCTCTCATCGACCCGACCTGCCCTGACCCGCCCCATTCTGGACCCGATCTTGCCTAAATTACATATAATCTTAGTCAAATTACTTAAGACTTTCCTCTTATTACATTATATTTTAACTTTAATAAAGTTGTAAATAAGTTAAAACCTCAATTTCTTCAGTAATTTAACTACATTTTATCATATTATGGTTTCTTTCTTGGTCTTTCAATGAAAAGAATGAATATTTCTAATGTTTTTCACATAAATTACATACCCAATGGGTCGACCTGCCCCGACCCGCGCCCCGTGATAAATTACCCGACCTGGACCCGACCTGCCATGGGGCGGGTATGGGTATCGAGATACCCGCCCCGAACCTGCCCCATTGCCATTCCTAGCTCTATATCTATCTACTCTCTAGTCTCCGCAACGCAGTAGTTTCTCAGCTGGCTCCCGCTTACTGAATCTAATCCCAAAGTCCAAGCGTCCCCCTTCGTTCCGCTAGCTGAGAAGTGCCGGTTTCCTTCGCCGCCGCCGGGTTCCAGGCCATGTCGGACAGAGATAGGTACGGCGACCGGGACCGTGCTCGTGACAGAGAACGGGACAGGGACCGCGACCGAGATAGAGAGAGGCGCCGGGAAAAGGAAGATAGGGATCGCCTCCGGGACCGAGATCGAGTGCGCACGCGGTCGAGAACACGGTCGCCGGACCGAACACGAGGGAGACACGCTCGTTCCCGCACTCGCTCGCCGGACACGAGGGAGCGCAACTCGCGCTCGCCAGATGCACGCGCCTCGCATCGCCGCCACCGCCACCAGCGCACCCCGTCGCCTTCGCCTCCGCGGAAGAGGCACCGTCACGATCCCGACGAGGAGAGGGATAAGGACAGGCAGAGAGCAGCGGCGGATTCTGATCTTGTAGACGGGATCTCGAAGGAGCCGCAGAAGCGGACGGACAAGAAGAGCGGTGGGGGAGATGGAGCGGAAGTAACCGGAGATGGAATTGGTGGCGAGATTGGGAACGAGGATGAGGTTGAGATGATGAAGATGTTAGGGATTCCGATTGGCTTTGATTCGACGAAAGGGAAGCCGGTTCCCGGCGCCGATGTGAGCGGTATCAGGGCGACGACCAAGCGGCAGCCCAGGCAGTACATGAACCGCAGGGGAGGGTTCAATCGGCCGTTGCCTGCAGAGCGTAATCGATAGCGCCTTAAAGCTCCTGGTTAGGGATTCAGATTCTAGCTTAATGTTGCCATTACCAACTGTTTGTGATGCATCAGAATGCAGTAGTGAACTAACTTCAAACTGCAATTTTGTTGTGCTGCATCTGAATCGTCATGCTTTGAATTAGGGATTGAATTCTCCGAGCTGAGACGTGGTTAGTGATTGGAAGTGCTTTATAGGAGACTCTGAGCTTAAACGTGGTTAGTGTAGTACTGTGCTTAGTGAATTAGTAATGTAACATTGTCGCGATTTTCGGCTGTGTTCTGTGTTGAGCACGGTTTGCAGCATGCATTGTTTCTGTTGATATGAATCAGCATTGTAGTCGGGGCCTTTCGAGGAGTGTAGTTCTTGCAGTAGCGTCTTAATGCTGTGACATTGTGGCGGTTTTCGGCTGTGTTTTGTGTTGAGCCCTGTTTGCTGCATCCATTGCTTCTATGCTGATCCGAACTGGTATTGAAGTCTTGGCCTTTTGAGTCTGGTGGCTTTTGCAGTGATTCACCACGATCAATTGGTTCCGTCTTAACTGGATTTGCAGGTTGTTCGTCCATCTCAAGACCCAAAGGTCAAGAAGTATCATGATGCCAAGTACAGAGTCTGTTGATATGAATCAGTATTGTAGTCAGGGCCTTTCGAGGAGTGTAGTTCTTGCAAGTAGCGTCTTAATGCTGAGACATTGTGGCGGTTTTCGGCTGTGTTTTGTGTTGAGCCCTGTTTGCTGCATCCATTGCTTCTATGCTGATCCGAACTGGTATTGAAGTCTTGGCCTTTTGAGTCTGGTGGCTTTTGCAGTGATTCACCACGATCAACAGTTGAACCCAGTGAATGTTGGCACTGTATTAGTCTTAAGCTGTGAATCCGTTCTTCTCTTCCCCCTTTGCTTTGCACTTCCAGTGATATGTTATGAAAGTTCCGACGTTTCAAGTGACACTTATCTGATTCAGCTCAGCGATCGGGGATGGCCTCGGAAGGGTGTTCTGAATGGGAGTAGAATGATCTCTTCCTCATATTTTGCAGATTGTCCAATCAAGTCGATTAGTGGTAGTGAACATGGTTAGGCTGCTATGTTATCGAAATCGCTCGATGGTTTGGATGTTTTCTCGTGTAAATTTTCGTTACCTGGGTTGGTGTTTGTCGATATATTGGACATTGTTTTGAGTAATCGGATGCTTTGTTCGTTATGTCATTTCGAGCATACATAAACCTAAAAGTACTGTCGGAAACAATGTATTATCGATCTCTCTGGAGGTGTCAAGACTCGGGAGGTAGTGCACACCAACGGGGATGCTAAATGCTAGTAAATGCAGCTTGTAAGCTATACTCTCAATGTTGGCTACATATTAATCATCAACATCATAATCATCAATCTAATAATATGATTCGTTTGGAAATGATCTCATATTTAATTGTATAATAACAATGGACAAGAAAATATGTTTATTTATGAGAACAGTGTACGTTTTAAATGAGTTTTAAGTTTACAAATACTCGGTTGGTACATTATTGTAGAATTGAATGGACTAGTTGTGGTTTCTATATCATTGTATCAACCAAATATTAATAGCTAAAATGAAAATTTTGATGATTATGGTGCTTATATCTAAAATCTAAGATGTAGGGGTGGCTATACGGTCCGGTCCGGTTAAATTGGCCCAAATTGATCCGGTCCAGTCCGGTTTTTTTGAAAATATAAGGACCAAAGATTGGATTGGATACAGTCCGGTCTTGATCCGGTCCGGTCTTGACCCGGTCCGGTCCCAATTCAGTCTTGATTTTATATTGAGATTGTGGGAATTTGAGTGGCCTAAGGCCTAAAAGGGTGAGGAGTTGGTTAAGTTTTGTAATAAGTGCAAAGGTTTGTGACCGTTTATGCAAATTACCCTTAAGTTTTGGGTGTTAAGCTCTCTTATCCGGTCTTTATCCGGTTTTTTACCTCAAATCTAAGCCCAAAGATTGGATTGGATTGTTTACTATCCGGTCCCGGTCTGGTCTCGGTCCGGGTTATACGGTCCGGTTTCCGGTTTTCCATCCGGTCCCGGTCCAAATAGCCAGCCCTACTAAGATGCACTTCTGTCGAATATTTTGTTTATAAAAGTAATCGTTTATCTCTATTAGCTTTTATTTTCTTCTGATAAAAGTGATAATTATCTCTCTAATACGTTGCTATTCGGGGGTGAAAGAAACAGGGGAATTAATGGTGGCGGAAGAAGAATTATCAATCTGACAACACCAAAAAATCAAGAAAGAGTAAAATATCAATCAATGTCAGCAGGCAAAAAGGAAGTCTGGTCCGATACTACCCCACTCCTCCACCGCAAAAACTCACCTCCTCCGCCTTCCTACCATTCTTCTTCTTCTTTCCCTTTCACCGTCGATATGTCTTCCTCTTCCTCTCCTCGCCGGACCGGCTCCATCTTCCTCGGTGTCGACGTCGGAACCTCCAGCGCCCGCGCCGGTAAAAGACTTGGATTTTAATAAAAACGACCATTTTTCCTGATCGGAGAACTGATCCCCCCTCTCGTGCTCTGTTTTTCTTCTTCTTTGCAGGAGTGTTTGACGACAAGGGGAAGCTCCTGGGGACGGCGAGCAGCCCGATACAGATTTGGAAAGAAGGAGATATCGTTGAGGTAAAATGTGAATGAGAGAAAGATGGGGTTCTTTTTTTCTGGGTGCTCAATCGGATTGCTTGTTTGATGAATGGAGTGAGTCTATTTTGATTCAGCAATCGTCAACGGACATATGGCATGCTGTGTGTGCGTCCGTGAAGTCGGCTTGTTCTCTTGCTAATGTTGCTGGCCATGAAGTGACCGGGATTGGATTTGCTGCTACTTGTTCCCTTGGTGGGTTTTCTTGTCCAATAAGTTTCCTTTTTTCACTTCAGACTGTTAAGTTGATGGAAGTTGGCGTTAATTGGAGGCTTCATTTGGTTTGTTATTAGTTGCGGTCGATTCTGATGGTGCCCCAGTTACTGTTTCGTGGAGTGGGGATTCGAGGAGGAATGTGATTGTTTGGATGGACCACAGGGCTGTTAAGCAAGCTGAAAAGATCAATTCTTTCAACTCGCCCGTGTTGCAGTACTGTGGTGGAGCTGTGTCTCCTGAAATGCAGCCACCGAAGGTAACTTGATTTGGGTTGGGAAATTCGTAATCAGTGCGTAGGTCGACTATAGTGGTAATATGGGGATGAACAAGTTGAAAAGATCCCACATTTGAACTTTGGAATTGGTCATGGGTTTGAGTTTTTTAGCAATTGCATTGGCTGAGCATAAAGTATTGGCAATTTGAACTGGATTAAGCTTGACAAAGGTTATAATTGCAGTTACTATGGGTGAAAGAAAATTTGCCAGAGTCATGGTCGATGGTGTTCAGGTGGATGGACTTGAGTGATTGGTTGTCATACAGGTACTATTGTAGCCCTCTTAGAGTGGTGGCATCGCAAGTCAGAATCCTATTTTTTCATGAAGGTGTTCTCTGAGGTTGTTTTTCTTTTGTTTCTCTAGAGCAACTGGAGATGACACTAGGAGTCTGTGCACAACAGTCTGCAAATGGACATATCTTGGTCATGCACACATGCAACAAATGAAGGAGAAGAATTCTCGGGACATGGAAGCTTGTGGATGGGATGACGACTTTTGGGAAGAGATTGGCTTGGGTGATCTTTTGGAGGGTCATCATGCTAAGATTGGTGAGCTTGCTTCTCTTCTTCCTTAATCAATTGAATCAAATGTCCAAAAATTGTTCTTCCTTAATGGTACCACGTCAGTTTGTTCATATGGATCCTTTTCAGCCATTTTTAAGTGGAAAAGATGCGAAGTACATGCATTAATTCAGTTGACATGGGATATTGTTGCACAGGACGCAGTGTTGCTCTGCCTGGCCATTCTTTGGGTTCTGGTCTCACGCCTGCAGCTGCGAAGGCAAGAATTTTGTACTGAAGAATAGAACACTTCCTGAGGTCCATTGCCAAAGCAAACACATTGTTTTAGTTAGATGAACACAAGCATGCCCTTTCCCTGTGGCCAATGGATGTTTTTTTTATTCAACCTGTTGCCATTTATCTTTACTTGGTCTACTTTCATGAATTCTTATTTTTGTCGTTGAAAATGTATGCTTTCAGGAAATGGGTCTTAGAGCTGGAATTCCAGTTGGAACTTCATTGATTGATGCTCATGCTGGAGGCGTAGGGATCATGGAAAGTGTTCCCCAGTCAGATTCTGAGGCTAAAGGTAGATTTCAGTTGAAAGTAAAAAGATGAAAAGATGCACTATTCCTGGTTTATCATAATTAACCTCTTTCATGCATAATGTTTTCTAAGCCTTTACTCATCGACTTCATTTTTTTGCTAGAGTCTGGTAAGGAAGCTGTTACCAGCCGTATGGCATTAGTCTGTGGTACTTCTACCTGTCATATGGCCGTCACACGAAGCAAACTGTTCATTCCAGGGGTGTGGGGACCATTTTGGTCAGGTAAAGATATACCAGAGATATTTTATTAGTGTTACAACACTGAACGAGTACCTTACCGAGGAGTTTGCCTTTAGTTTTACGCTCTATTTAATATTGGGCGCCCCCATCAATAGCTATCCAAGTTCTGCTAGCTCACTAGATATCAACTTTACTCCCATGTTTGTAGCTATGCTGCCTGAGTATTGGCTTACAGAAGGTGGGCAGAGTGCTACTGGAGCATTATTGGATTACATAATTGAAAATCATATGGCTTCTCCTCATCTTGCAGATCGAGCAGCATCTCAAAGTAAATCTCGTTCTTTCTTCCTACAATTCAAGTCTTATCATTACTTGAAGCAGCTACATTCGACTTACATAATGCTTATGCCATTCCGTTCTTTCTCCTTGCCAGAGACTTCGATCTTTGCATTGTTAAACAATATGTTACTGACAATGATGGAGGAACAGAAGTCTCCATTTGTTGCTGCTTTGACTGAAAGCACACATGTTCTCCCTGACTTCCATGGAAATAGGTAGGTGATACTGTGATAGATATGATAACAACACAGGCTTTTCCAGGTGGCAGTGCTGATATACTATTGACTAATTTTTTATTATTTAATTTTTGATGTTGCAGATCTCCTATTGCAGACCCTAAATCAAAGGGTATAATCTGTGGCTTGACTCTAGACACAAGTGAGAGACAGTTAGCTCTCTTGTACCTTGCCACTATACAGGGAGTTGCTTATGGTACAAGGCATATTGTGGAGCACTGTAATGCTCATGGCCACGAAGTAGATGCATCTCTAGTCCTTATTCATTTGTCGACTCTCAACAACTCATCAATGTCAATTTTCCCTCTAATGTGAAGTTGCCTGTTTTTGCTCACAGATCAACACTCTGCTTGCTTGTGGTGGCCTTTCTAAGAACCCACTTTATATCCAAGAACATGCAGATATCATGGGTAACTAACTTAACTATCTTCTTTACTGAATGCTAGTGGAAGTAGTTATTGGCCTTCTATTGGCAACAGGATAAGCTTATGTTTCTTTCACTATGCAGGTTGTCCGGTTATACTGCCTCGTGAAAGTGAGTCTGTACTCTTAGGAGCAGCAATTCTTGGTGCAGTTGCTGCCAAGAAATATCCCACTGTTATGGAAGCCATGAAGGCACTGAACGTTGCTGGTCAGGTGGGCATAACATTCTTATCTTCCAATTCATTTTCTCCTTTGAGACTATGTAAGGCAGTGTGCTGAAATGGATTATTGGTTCTGTTTGGTATAATTTTTTTGGCTGAATAGGTTTATAGTTTCGGTTCAATTCTCTACTGATCATAATCAAACTGATCATTTCGACCAAAATGCATCTACATTCTACTACATTTGATCTGTGAATTTTTCCCTGATCTTTTCGTTCTTAAATCAGATGTAGGCTCAAGGCCATCGTAAATATTTGGTTCTGAATTTTCTTTTTGCTTCATGACGATGAATGTTGGCGATAATATATTCAGTTATCAACAAATCGGAACCAAACCAAATTTTCTCTTCTATTATAATTGATTTAGTTTGACACTATTTTGATTGATTTGGTTAACCAAATGTATTCCACGATTAATTGGTTCCGTCTTAACTGGATTTGCAGGTTGTTCGTCCATCTCAAGACCCAAAGGTCAAGAAGTATCATGATGCCAAGTACAGAGTCTTCCAGGAGCTTTATGAGCAGCAACTATCTCAACGTTCAGCCATGGCTAAAGCCTTGGAGTAGGGTCGTAGCATCTCCCAAATCCACTCTTGCTGGTGTAGTGGTGTACAGTTCAAGTTTTTTTTTTTTTTTTTTGGCCATACAGTTCAAGTCATTTAGTTGTGGCTAAAATTTTTCACTTTGCTTTTTATACTCGAGGAGGTTCGTTCACAGCTATTGTTTTTGAAAGATTCTTTGTAAAGCTTCAAGCTTTTGGTTGACTCTCTCTGTACAAACTATCGGTATGGAATTAAGTCAAAATATGGAACAATCTCAATTAGTTACTTGCAAGTATTGTCATTTTAGTTAAATTTGTTTTTCCAACAAATATTCCTTAAACGGTCTGTAATAAGTAAATCTAGAAATGAGCATGATTCAACCGAATACGAACACTGACAGGAACGACTCGAGAATGAACACAGTCCAATACAATCTCAATTCGGTTCTTTTTGGTTTGTTTCATCTGGTTCGGATTGATTGCGCAACTCTATTGAATCAACACGATGTCAAACCTATACATTCATATTATCGATTTGATCCATTCAACAAGAACCATTCAACACATTCGATTTGGTTCTACCGTCTTTGTGTGAAACATTCAAACAAGAACCATTCAACAGAGCCCCAGGATTTGGGTTCTCATGTTCAAATCCTTCAGCTAAAATGTGGAATAGGAGACACGGGAAGGTCATTTCTTATAAGATCATGGCATTGTAAAAAGCATTAAGATTGTTGCAAGATGGTACTTGAACAATACAAAAACCACAAGTTATATGGGTCCAAGCAAAAGATGAAGGATTTGACCAACAAGTAAAGAAAGCACATTCAGTTCTAGAGGGAACGATAGGCAGCATTCTTCACATGTATAGTCCTTCGGGCACCCCTTCTTTCTTCTTGAACATCACTTTCTCCTTTGCTTTCTTGAAGTCGACATGAGTTACCTGAACTCAAAGCAAAATGAAATATCAGAGAACTGAATTTAATTGCTTAAGAGACCAAAATAGCAGCGAAAGAACCAAGTGAGGGGATTGTGAAGCAGAATTGATTCATAGTCTTCACCTTCATGCGCCGCTCTCTTAAAGCAAGCAAGCCAGCCTCAGTGCAGATTGCTTTGATGTCAGCTCCTGAAAACTCGTCCTTGGTCATCACAAACTCCTCCAAGTTAACATCATCGGCTAATGTCATTCTCGATGTATGGATCTGCATGAAATAATCAAAACACGAGCAAAAGCATTGGTAACCAGAAGACACTTGGTGTTATACTACAGCCAAATATTATGTTGCTCATGTTCATCAAACTCTACCTGGAAGATGCGCCTCCTAGTTTTGATGTCGGGAAGAGGGAATTCTATCTTCCGGTCTATACGCCCTGGACGCAACAGAGCAGGATCAAGACTCTCAATTCTGTTGGTTGCAAGAATCACTTTCACATCTCCCCTCGAATCAAAACCATCAAGCTGGTTCAACAGCTCCAACATAGTCCTCTGGATCTCACGCTCACCACCAGAATTTGCATCATACCTTAAAAATACAGGTTTTTCATCAACTACCTTAAAAAACACAACCTGACGGGCCCACTAATGAAAATGCATCAACAGCGGCCTACCTCTTTGTGCCGACTGCATCAATTTCATCGATGAAGACAATTGAAGGCGAAAGGTCATCAGCAACTCTAAACAACTCCCTAACTAGTTTTGGACCGTCACCTAGATATTTCTGAATCAGTTCACTTCCTACAACACGCAAGAAAGTTGCCGATGTAGAATTCGCCACAGCCTGAAGTAGAAGGACAAATCAAAGAAGGTTATTGCTGATAGACTAGAGATAGTTCGTCATAGTAATGAGACCCAATTTGAACTGTTTAAGTATTTGACTGAGGTGTAAGTACCTTAGCAAGCAATGTCTTCCCTGTTCCTGGCTCCCCATAAAGAATAACTCCTTTAGGGGGCCTAATCCCGATGTCTTCATAGAGTTCAGGATGAGTAAGAGGAAGCTCCACTGCTTCCTTAATCTCCTGTATTTGAGCATCCAACCCACCAATGTCGGCATATGATTCAAGTGGAGCTTTCTCGACTTTCATTACTGAAACCATGGGATCAACCTCATCTTGAAGAAGACCAACAACAGATAGGACCTAGCAAAGTTATAAACAAATACAAAGGAGTCCCCGAGTATCAGAACTAAGTGCATAATCAAATAGCCAGAACATTCAGAAAAGCCTTGACCTTTAAAGGAACCAACTAATAAGAAATACGAGGCCATAAACATTCCGGCTCTAAACTATCGATACGCGCATCTATGACAAGCTTCCAATTCCAGCTTAAAACACGGAATTCCAACAAACGCAGAGTTCATAAAAGAAAGCTCACTCCTTTTAGTTCATTATCTGGTGAAACAGTTCAAATTACCTTATTGTGCATCAGAATAGAACAGCCGGGCTCGAGCTGGTCCTTATCGACAAAGGAGAGAATCCCCACGTAGTACTCGGGACCAACGGACGACGAAACAATGGCGTGATTCTCGTCAATCAGCTCCTCCAGATTCCCGACGCTCATCGGAGACCCTCTGAGATCGTCGACCTTAGATCGATCCTCCTCGTTCTTCTCCTCCTGAGGCTTCAACCTCTCCTGGTTCGCGACGAATTCCTCCTCCATCAGCAAGTAATCCTTGATTCGCTCCATCTTCAGCAACCTCAGCTTGCACTTGGTCAGCGGCGTCACCGTCGGCAGCCGCGAAGCCGCCTCGGAACCCTTCTGCTTCCTCTGCTTCCGCCCGACTCTGGACGGCGGGGCGGCGGGCTCGTACTTCTTTTCCTTCTTGTTGTCGCCATCTCCCTTCCGGTCTCCCGGCGGGCGGTTCATACCCGATGGACCTTGACCCATGTCGTCGCAGTCGGTCGGCTAGATTCGTCGATGCGGCGGGGCTACGGTGGTTGGAATCTGAAATCTGGCTATCGAAGATCGGAGAAATTGCTTTAGGGATTGTTCTAATGAAAACTGGAAAAGCTCAGACCTTTGTGTTGTACTCGAATTTTATTCGACCTTACAGTTTTAGTCCCTTATTTCTTCTCTCTTCCGGAAAGGGACTTGTACTATCAATTTTGTTACAACGCAGGCCTCAGGCATGGACTTGGAGATATGGCCCTTTTCTTTTGGGCTCATCGCTTTCCAACATTGGGCTCGTTTTTTAGTAGGCTAGCTAGCTCCTTTTCCTCTCAGAACCAGTGGGCTTTTTTTTAGCCAGTATTTTATAATTATTAATTTATTATTACTCACATTCATCTTTGTTTCTTTTGCTTTTTGTCCTTGGCGGCCATTACGTGATCTCGAAAACGACGTCACCATCGCCATCCTCAAAGCCCATAATCTTTTTGCATCTTTTTCTTGTACTCAGTCTGCGCTCCACGTGGCAATGCGTCACTTGTCACTTGCAGCGCGTGGGGGATTTAACGAGCGTTGCATGGGCATTTCCTTTGGGCGGGACCCACAGCGCCTCATGGCATTCAACTATTGGTGGGGAGGCGCATTTCGATTTCAAGCCGCGAATATTCCCACGCGCTTATGGTATGCCCCCTTTGTATCTAATGTTCTTCCTCGACGGCTAATTTCATTTGTGGGGTGGGAAGAAATGAATTAGATTCCACATACGATTTCGATAGAGCGTTCGTTAAGATATAAATTGACCTCAACAATTACTTAAGGTGTTGGAAGAGGCCGAATTCAATGTGAATTTTGATATCGTTCATTTTAAATAAGAATATAATAGACCACCCCTAGACGTCGCATTGGAAGGCAGAGTGTTATTGAACGTAGCTTCTCGTGTATGTTGACCTTGTGACATAGTTCATTAAAGATATCAGTGGATTGCTTTTTCGTTGTGAAAGGAGGGCCTAGTTGGGTAATTATTTGTTGTTTAACGAATGATTTGATTCTTCACTCAATATGTTTCGGTCGAACGGATCGGCCCGGGTCCATATTGAAGCGCGTGCATGGGGAGGACGACGTAGGAGAAAGTGGCTGAATGATGCTGCGGGCATATCCCCTTTTCTCCTTGGTAAGTGGAGGAGGAGATAACAAATTGTGAGAACAAAACAAAAAACAAAAACAAAAAGAGATGCCAAATAAATAAATCAATCTTCAAGAAAAGAAAAAGGGAAACCATAATTATTCGCGGAACCGAAAGAGTGCCACGTGTGACACTACGCTGGCAACCAGCCATCGCATCTTCTCCTTCCTCCGCCATTCTCTTCCATCCTCCCCCTCTTCTCTGCTCTCGTCTCCGCTCCCAAATCCCATTTCCGTCTTCTTCTTCTTGTTCTCCAATGGCGAATTCCCATTGACGCGACAATCACGAAAAAAGGGGGGAAAAGGATTCCTTCCCGCCGACGAAAAGTCCGCGAGAAAAATTTCCCGCTCTGCTCAGGTACCATCAGCGCTTTTTCTTGATTTCCAGAAAATTTTCGATTGAGGGTTTTCGTAAAAGGGAAGGAATTGATTGTGTTTGCGATTCGGGTGGAATCCGTGTTGAATATTAATCGGGCGGCGGCGGCGGCGGTGGGTGGGGTGAAGAGCTGCCACCTCTGCGGGGAGCGCCATGAATGGGTTCGGCGGATTTGATGATTTTAGGGACTTCCTCTGTGTTATTTATGGTTTTCGCTTTGTGGGGGTGTTGAAATCGGAAGCTTTTTCCAGTGAGTGAACACTTCCCACCCCCCCTCTTTCCATGTGTAACCAAGGGATTGAATCCCTGAACCAGAATCATAAAACTAGTCACCAGAATTCGATGGATACTCCACCTTCAGCCACTAATTCCACCCCAGGCTCAAACTTTAGCCCCAATGACGAAACCCAACGAGTCAAATTCCTGTGTAGCTTCTTGGGCAGCATAATGCCTCGCCCGCAAGACGGGAAACTGCGGTATGTGGGCGGGGAGACCCGGATTGTGAGCTTGCCTAGGGAGATTGGGTATGAGGAGCTTATGAGCAAGATGAGGGAGCTATACGAAGGTGCTGCGCTGTTGAAGTATCAGCAGCCGGATGAGGATCTCGATGCACTGGTCTCGGTTGTGAATGATGATGATGTCACCAATATGATGGAGGAGTACGAGAAGCTGGGGTCTGGGGATGGGTTCACTAGGCTTAGAATTTTCCTCTTCTCGCATTCTGAGCAAGAAGGATCGCCTCATTTTGTGGATGGAGATGATAGGGAGACCGAGAGGCGGTACGTGGATGCGTTGAACAATTTGAATGATGTGGTGGATTTTCGTAGGCAGCAGCAGATGGATTCCCCTTTGATTGACGAGCAGTTTTTCAGCCACATGAGTCTTGATGGTGGGATTCGTGGACACAGGAATCCTGATGTGCCATTGCCTCAGTATAATCTTCGACATGTTGCTGTTCCTCAAAGGTATAGTGAAATGGAAGCTACATGGAGCCCTGCCTATTATTCTCCCAGGCATCATGGGCATCATGACAATCCGAGATCAATGTCAGAGTTTCCGAATTCACCCCCATATCGGATGCCATTTGGGGAAATGCCTGATAAAAGCATGGATAGGGTGCCTGAAGAATATGGTCGCCCGCAGATGAACCATCAGGTACCTTACTCCGAGAATGTGATGTGGATGCCCGATAAAGCCGGTTTCCCAGGCAATTTGATGCATGGTCAAGGTGTTATGGAAGGGAATAGTGGTGCCTGTGAGCATTGTCACACCCCTTTTCAGAGAAGCCAGTTGCATTTGGAGCAGGCTAACATTGGAAATGGTCTTCCCCATGGTGTTAATTCATGTAGTGAGTGTGCTCCAAGTAGAGAAGCTTTCTTAGTACATGGAGATCCAAACATGCACCACACCATACACCCTAAAGATCAGTATCTCTCTGGAGCTGGAAGGTTCAATGAGCAACACTATCTTGTAGAAGGTCCTGGCATGAACTATTCACTTGGTCATGGGACTTTAGTGGATGGCCATCATGTTTCTTCTAGCTATGCCCCTCATCGAGCTGGTCACGACATGGGGAATGAAGCATTTCATGATCCATCTGTACCTCCTGCACATCACCAGCACGTGCCACCGGACGATCGTAGCATCAGATATGGGAATTTTCCTGGTGCTTATGGAACTGAAACTGTTTATCAGATGCCTCTTGGACATGGTCATGGGCAGAGTTTATGGAGAAATGTTCCGAACCCTATGCTTGGAGGTCCTTATGAAGCAGCCAATGGAGCCTCACAAGTTAATGGTACAGTTAATCAGGCATATATCAGAGGTACAGTAGAGGGTGGTCCAAGGGCTGGAGCTATTGGCATTGATCCTCAGCATGCTTGGTCTGACTCCTCGCAGACCAGGTTGGGTTTTGATGCCATGGCTGTCCCAGATTATGCTTACACCCCTGCTTTGAAAACTAATCCAGCTAGTTATGGGGTGGAAGCTAGGCATTCAAATGCTCCTGAATCTACTCGCCCTCCACTTCCACATGAAATGGCAAATTCATTTGCTCCGATAGCTACTGTTGGTCATATTCCTGGTGGATTCAGCAGCACTGTTGTGGTTCCTGAAATGGCAAAGCAGGAAGAGACAAACATTGGTGGCACAGAAATAGATGCGAGTTATGCAGAGAAACTGAATATGGTTAATTTAGTTCATATTGTCAATCCGAATCAAGAGGCGGCTCTGGTGGATTTGTCCGACCCAAATAACTCGCGTAGTCATGCCGGCAGCAATTTAATGCCAGTGGGTGAAAATAAGCCTTCTGTTTGTGTGGGGGATTCTAAACTATCTGTCAACCACTTAAGTTACTTACCTGAGTTAATTGCTTCTGCGAAGAAAGCTGCATTGGAGGAGGCTGAGGAAGTGAAAGCAAGAGTTGAAGAAAATGTCTCTCCTTTGAAGGATAATGCGGCATCAAAAGAAGCAACTGTCAAGGAGCCTGAAGCAGTGGTGAGAAGCATCAGACTTAGTTTCAACTGGAAATGCTTTTGTACTTTAAACTTTCATTTTAATGGTTGCCTTTTTACAGAATGGCGTTGAAGAAGTAGAGTTGGATTCTGAAAGTGATAATTCAAACCTCAACAAGATTGAGCCCACAAAGGCTGAGGCTGAAGCTATCGAGAAGGGATTACAGGTTTGTGCAAATTCTCTTTCCATCAAAATGTCACTGTTTCTTTCATGAGGATATGCTGTTGTTAAGACATTTGCTCAGGTTTCTTCTGCTACACTATATATGTGAAGTTAAGTACAAATTATTGCTTCTTTTTTTATGCCCAGACTATAAGAAACGATGATCTGGAGGAGATCCGTGAATTGGGTTCTGGAACTTATGGAGCTGTTTATCATGGGAAATGGAAGGGTTCTGATGTGGCTATCAAGAGAATAAAAGCTAGTTGTTTTGCTGGAAGACCTTCTGAAAGAGAGCGATTGGTACATTATACTTTCAGTTCTCGACTTTGTACAGTTATATATGTCAGCAGTTTGCTCCATTCACATATCTTACCCGTTGGCATTTCTTGTTTTAATAAATTGACTTTCTGTCTCAATCATTCTAACTGGAGATACAACGACTTCTATAGATTGCAGATTTTTGGAAGGAAGCATTGATACTGAGTTCACTACACCATCCCAATGTTGTCTCTTTCTATGGTATAGTTCGTGATGGCCCTGATGGATCTTTAGCAACCGTAACAGAGTTCATGGTGAATGGTTCTTTGAAGCAGTTTTTACAAAAGAAGGACAGGTAACCTTGCAACCGTTGGTTCCAGAATTTTGTATGCGGGATAAAAGACAAAAGTGATGAAGCATTTTTTTTTTAATTTGAGGAGTAGTTAACATTCCAACCTCATTGCAGAACCATTGACCGGCGCAAGAGACTCATCATAGCAATGGATGCTGCATTTGGCATGGAGTATCTGCACGGGAAGAATATTGTTCATTTTGATTTGAAATGTGAAAACCTCTTAGTAAATATGAGAGATCCACAACGGCCCATCTGCAAGGTATGCTTAGGCCAAGCAATATTTTTTTCCCCTGAGGATTCTCCCTGTTCAATTTCTTAGCTAATGCTCTGTTCTGAAATGCACCAAAGCTTCTCGAAGGATCTCTATTCAGTAGTTTTCAATTTGCTTCAGTTTTCAAGTGCCTCATTATGTTTCGGCTCAGGTTTTCCAGACTTGAGTTTATCTCAAGTCAACAGCTTTGAAGCTAATCGAGTGTGCTTTTCTCTTAGATTGGTGATTTGGGCTTATCCAAGGTCAAACAGCAAACACTTGTGTCAGGTGGTGTTCGTGGAACTCTACCTTGGATGGCCCCTGAGCTTCTGAGTGGGAAAACCCATATGGTGACCGAGAAGGTAGCTATAATCTCTGGTAGAAGGTACTTGCGACTTATCTTTTCTGCTCTTCCTCATTTGAATTCTCTACATTTCCTGGGCCACAGATTGATGTTTATTCCTTCGGAATTGTGATGTGGGAGTTGCTGACTGGAGAAGAACCTTATACGGATTTGCATTGTGCCTCAATAATAGGTATGCCAAGATCCATTATGGTAGTCATTTACGTAGCATCAGTATATACGTTAGTTGCTCTCAATAAAAGTCAGATTTCTGGGTTTATTTGGAAGAACTGCCCTTGAAACTAGGGAGAGAGAAAAAATCCTGGTCAACCCTGAATTTTCTGGCCAGATTAGTAAAGCTAAACTGCCAAATCATAGTGTTACTACAAGTTGTTCATCAGTTCATTTCAATGACTTGCAGGAGGAATTGTGAACAACACGTTACGTCCCAAAATCCCAACTTGGTGTGATCCAGAGTGGAAATCTTTGATGGAAAGTTGCTGGGCTTCTGAGCCTGCAGAAAGGCCTTCGTTTTCTGAAATTTCTCGAAAGCTGAGGACCATGGCTGCTGCAGTCAACGTGAAATAATGGTCCAGTCATGAAGTAGATATTTCTCACTTCTCGACTGGCCTATTATGGCTAGAGAGAAAAAATGGCCCTGTAGTGAACAAATAGTGATAAAGCAGAAGAAAAGAAGAAAAAGAAATAAAATTTAGATTTCTGATATTGTTATTATGCCTTGAAAGTATCTGCAGGCTTATGGGATAGAGAAGATCGCCCCTTTCAGAACATGCCCTCCCTTTTCTCTAATTATGGAGAGGGTTAATGATGCACAATCAGAATGTGAGTTCCTTTCGAGTATGCTTCTAGTTCGTTCTTTCTTTAGAAATGGCCGAGAAAGTAATCGCCTTTAGCTTCCTTCTGCAGGTTTTTTTTGCTATTTTGAATGTGATCATATAAGCGGTAGTGAAACATAATCTATCTCTGCTACTATTTGGAATGAAGGGGGAGATGTATATATATCTATTTATCTATATATGATGATGATGATGATGAAATCGCCGTGTTTCTTTAGCTTTCTCCATTCTTGGAGGAGGAGGAAGACGATGCATAGCACTTCTCTCTTCACTCTCCAGCACGAGTTTCTCAGATGGGATCTTCGCCAGCCAAATAGCTAGCTGTATTAGAAAGTATGCTATGTTACGTTGGCTTTTAGTCCCTTTGTTTCCTTCCTTTTGGTGGGTTTTTCTGCACACTACTGAGGAACGTTTCCCACATAAATTGAACTGCACAAAATTTGAGGTCAATGTGTTCTTATTATTGTTCTATTGCTTGCTGTGATGGAGCACTGTCTATTTATGGTGCAATGAAGTTCATGCAGAAGTCAGCGGCAGAAAAAGATCATGCTGTTGCTGCTATAAAAGAGATTGTAGCTTTTTTCTTTACCTCTTTGATTCTGCTGGTATGTGAACTATTTTGAGTGCATGTTCAATGGACAATTTCATGCGTCTCATCATAGACATCTTGTTACTTGATTACTCTCTTCATGAAGCATGTGTACGTTCCGTTACGCATAAATCGTAGATAATCTATGCGTTTAGAGTGTAAGTGATGCAAGTGGGAGTGTGGGATTGTCGATAATAACGTGTTGACATTTGGTTTTCAACCTCTACTTGAAGTGTTTTCATGGTACAGGTGACGATTGAGCAATCTAAAGTCAATGTAGTGTAAATTTACCAACTCTTTCTGTGGCATTGAAAGTCAGCGGAGGGTTATATTATGTGGTTCTTTTATGGTCAAAATGCATGACATCATGTTTTGGCTTGGTATCTTCCATTTTGTGTATTTAGAAGGAGCCAAGGAGTAATGTAGAACCACTCCAATGTGGAGAAGTAGGATGAAACCAAACAATTGGCTTGTTCAATCATGCAAACCCGATTGCTTGGGGGGACAAAGGTCAAAGAGTATAGTATTAAGTATTTGGTGAAGAAGTTTATCATAGGCTAATGGTGTGGAATAACGTTATGTGGTCAATCACATTCACATTTTGTTGTGAGCTTAGTTTGGTTAAGCATGGACTTCGATTTTCACTCGAGATTAAGCTGTCTATTCAGATCTTCACTCCAAATCAAGGCATACTAAGGACTCCTCTTTACCCTCGCACATTCAAGGGCGTTACATCGGCTAGTATATATGGTGATTGTTCCATGACATGATTAGTCCTTTTACGAGCTTTTTCCTCTCCCAAACATGCAACAGCACAAGCCTATAAGGTCATTGAAACCCGTACAAAATGATCACTTGAATATTTCTGTTTTCATTAAGTTTGAACATGTAGTTAAGTAGCATTTTTCGTAAAAGAAAGTCTTGAGTCCATTTTCATATAAGCTTTTCATCAAGGTTAGAGATGCGAGTGGATGAAACTATATTTTTTCGTTACAAATTCATATTTAACTTAATACCATTTCGGGGAAAAGGAAAAATCTTGCGACTGTTTTGCACAAGTGTTAAAGTCAAGTGACCATTTTGGTTAGATAATTCAGTGTGAAAGGCAGGTCAATTTCTTGGATTCTTTGATGGATACTATAGGTCATGAGTTGGTTATAGTATGTGAGAGGAGGGAATATAAAAATGAAGTGGACTATGTGCATTTGACATATGGTGGCGACTCACTGGAAAATGGATCCAATTCTTTGAGCTCAGCAACTACGTCTCTTTGTTGCATTTTTAGTCTCTATAACAAAGAAATAAATGTTATATATGGGGTTAAATGCCAACATGATCACTAGACTTATGGTTGCTACAAATCGGTCACTAAACTAATTTTCCTGATAGGGTAGTGTTTATGAAAAAAATGGTCACTTAGTTTGCTTCTGACTAGAAAGTTGTTGAGTTTCATATCGATTCAACATTTAAGATAAAGCTTATGATTGATCAACCACAAACTGAGTGGTTCTTTATTTGTCGAGATTAAACTCTTACACCTTACCCTCAACTTGATCCTAACATACTCACACACAGAGTATATTAGGATGTTGAGAGTGGGAGCTAAACTGGAATCAACAAAACTAGTTGCAGTTCTCCTTAGAGAAAAGGGAATAAAGTTGAGTGATCGCTTATTACTTAATATTTATTTGTCGTGCACCGTTAAAAAGATTAGTTCGAAAATCGATCATAACAACCCTTATTTTTGGTGACCATTCTTGATATTTGTCCCAAGATGAAGATATTGGTACATCATAGTAGTGTACGCCATAGAGTAAATATCCAAGAAATTTCCATGCATGATACCTTGATCGATTGGGTGCTAAGTGTGTCAATGTCAAAGAATGCTTGAGGAACATTTTATATTGTAGGTGGTACGTACAAGTCACAAGTCCACTAACATGTGTCTTTGTCAACCTTTTGTGACGAAACATGGGTGACTTTTTTTCGTCCCTTAAAATAATTATCACCCCTCCAACAATGCTCAATGCAACGCGGTTACGTACGTGGACTGGTAGTTTGTATTATTATATGTACTATCGTCTTCAACATTAATAAGGATTAATTCCTTTGAGTTGAACTCTCTCGATTATCGAAAGCTGCATTCTGGATATTGTAATTGAGATTGATTAAGAGATTGTTATTGTATTGGTATATGCTCGATAATCGATATGTTAATTGGGGATAAAGATATATCGTTGGTCATAATCCTGGTACAAGATAATAATGAGTTGAATGTTTGAAAATAATTTCTAATGAAAATCTATCGTATTGAATCACGGGATAATCATATCAAATCATAATAGAAGGTGACTCATTGGAAGACATGTTAATTCTTCTGAATCATAAAAAAATGATTATACAATAACATTGACATTCTATAATTGCATTTTGTTACTACCTATGAAATGCGCTAAACCTAACTAGCTAGATGCAATTTTGGATAATCAAGTCATCATCATTAGTGAAGGTTACATACATTTCTATATGTCATCAATGAAATTTGTTGTTTTTTAAGGCAGTAGGTAGCTTAGCTAGCTAGCCCCTCCTCCCCCAACATAACAAAAAAAAAAAACAAACAAACATGGGATTATGTTTTGGTAATTACGCAATTATTGACTTTCCAACAAATAATCAATCAAGCACACCACCAACTGCGCTGAAAAGGAACTATAGGTCAAACTTAAATGTATATTTTTCTGCCATATATGTGGATAAACTTTGAGGGACAAACCCTCAAACCCATGAGAAATAGAGAAGTCAATACCTTAGGCAAACTGGGATATGAGGGTTTAGTCTAGCGGTTTCATCGTTTGTTTTCAATTTGAAGATGATTCACACTTTGAAAGTGATCGATGAACCTTAAACTTAAGCATGATCTCCATGGTACATATATCACTTTCACGAATTAAAAGTTAGTTTATAAAAGTTCACCAGAACATGATTTTTTTTAGAATATAAATGTTTTTTAGTTATTTATTTCCTTCGACGATCAATGCAAGACAATCAGATCATCAGCTCACCCATGATATAGCTAAAGAGCTCAGACATGCAATCGAACATCCAATCTGCTTAATAGCGTTCAAACCTTGAGCGAATGTTGAACATGAAATTCGACACATTACACATATCATATATATGTATTGACATGTTGTGTGTTGAGTGACTCATGAGAAATGGTAATTAAATATCCATAACTTGTTTTTATACTCTCAGTAAGAAGATAACCTTCATGGAGATATGTATGAAAGCTAGACTCATAGGAGTATCAATCATGGAATGTTTATATGATTATTATATGTTAACAAACTCTCTCTTTCTCTCTCTTTCTTCAATTAAGCAACTAGAGAAGATTATTGAGAGATCCTAAAAGCTTATCTTCTAAACCAGCTCAGGACCACCTTTACCAGCTCTCACTAACAAGGGAAACAAAAAAAACAATTATACAAATTAATCTACACATAAAATACATACACTTAACATTAGACAAAAGGGTTTGGTCTTATTGATGATGAAACTAATGGCAATGTCAAGTATCTACCCACAAAAAATATACAAAGGAGGAGACTGAAAGAGAGATTCTAAGCTTGAGATAAAAGACAAGCAGAAGCCTTGTTTTAATTTAATTAATTAAATAAATAAAGCCTACCCTATCTCAGTCTTTGCCTCAATTTGTTTGGTGGTGATTTCAGATATAATAGTATAATACAATAGGGTTTCTGCTTTTTCCCTGAAAATTTTGATGGTTTTCTGCTTGTTAACTTCTATGTGGGTTCAGGTTCTTCTTCAACTTGGCCCTTAATTCAAAGTAGGGTTCATCAAATTATTATGTTAATAAAAACCCTTATTAGCTAGGTCAATGAACAGAGATGATCCTTTTTGAAAAAAAGAAATATCTTTGCATTGTTTATGGCCTAACCTTTTTGCTAGCTACAACTCTTCATCTTTTAGATTATTGAATAATGATTTCTACTAACCACTAAGTGATGAGTTGCAATATCAAGGTCTCAACTTGCTAACCTTATCTCACATCTGTAAATAGTGTGGTGGATATTGGGTTTTTCAGTCTTGAATCCGATTTCATTAGTTAATCATAGTTTATATAAAGTTTGAGATGACACGTGGACTGGAAACACGAGAAAGATATATGAGATACATGAGTTGAATTGAAAGGGAAAAACATATAGTGTGATTCTTGCATTTAATACACAAATGACTAAGCTAGCATATTGAGTAGGAATGTTGTCATCCAATGTTGCCTATATATACTAGCTCTTTGCTCTTGTCAAAGGATGTAATTCTTAGAGCTAGCACATGCATTAACTAAGCATACAAAAACGAGGACATATATACATGACCTCTTTCGAGCTATTATTTACGAAGTCGATCTCATGTTAGGCTTCTAAAGACTCCTATAACAAATTATTAATTTACGTATAAAGTACGATTGAATTGTGCCGACTTTAAACCCGTATATTGTATCATGAGAAGGATCGTGTATACCGTTCAATCTTCTGGCTAGGGTTAGCTCTTAGACAAAGAACATTTTTGCTTAAATGGCGCCAATTAAGAGGGACCGTTCCTTCTAGACCCCGCAAAACCCCCTGTCTGCTGAGGGTACGTATTTGTTTGCATGTGTTTTTCTCTCAAAACAATAAACAAGTTGTGGGAAATTAAAGGCATAAAGCACTCTCTCCATTATTAAAAATGGCAATTAACTAAGAAGAAGAAAATTTCTGTGCTACTTTGTCCAGCTTCATGCATATATAATATACACAAATAATTCATCGTGATCCAAATGATATAACAATTCAGATAATCAGCTGTAAACTAATCCAAAAAGTATGTGAGAGAGAAGCGCACACACCATTTCTTCAAACCCTAAGAGTAATATTTAACCCTAAGTTCATTACAACCACTCGGATTGATGGGAGGAAGTCATAAACGATTGTAAATCTATCTTGTATGAAGTTTGTATATTGATTCATCATATCTTGTACTTCAATTAAGTTTGGATGGAGTGGATTCACTGGACTAAAAATACATATGATTTCTTGATGGTCGAAACCCTATATCTATAACATTATGAGAATATGTATGTGTCACATCAATGCAGTGCTGAAAGAGGTAGTACACGAAATAAATCCTATGCACTCTTTAATTGTCATAAATCAACTAGATGTATGAATATTAATCACTTCATTACACACCCCCCCATTAAACGGAAGTCATTTCATGTGCTTGAAATTTGCACTGGTTGTCATACCACGTGATTTAAGACAGTAATTAATATTGAGGGTCGTGAGGATTTAAATACGTGGCCTCAAGTACAAACCAGCTCTGATACCATGCCATAAACCAACTAATCTCAACACATTGTTATGTAGGCCATATTGATAATATCTCTCTCTCAACAACTAGAATTGTACATACACACTTTGGATAAAACACACGCTTTCAAGTAACCCTAGAGGAGGTAAGTAGAGAGAGAGAGAGAGCAAGTACAGGTTTGAATTTTTGTTGGCTTGAGGAGAAGACTTTTTTCCCCCAAGGCCTTGCCCTATAAATCTCAAGTCATCCCTTTCCCAACATCTCTCCCCTCATCATCACAAGCAAGAACAAAACAAAACAAAACAAAGAAAGAAACACAAGTCTCATCAGTCCCAAACAGAATCCATCATTCCTAGCCTGTTGCTGAAGAAGAAGAAGAAGAACCCTGCAAAATTAAAAAAGAAAACATGGGGAGAGCTCCATGCTGCGATAAGGCAAATGTGAAGAAAGGGCCATGGTCTCCTGAAGAAGATGCCAAGCTCAAATCCTACATCGACCAGTACGGCACCGGCGGCAACTGGATTGCACTCCCTCAAAAGATTGGTACACATACATATATACTCTTTCTAAATTTCTTCTTGTTCGTCGAACTCAGGATGCGGTGGATGTTCAGTTTTTATGTTGTTTTTAATGAGGGTGTTTTGAATTTTTCTGTCTGGTACTAGGGTTGAAGAGGTGTGGGAAGAGTTGCAGGCTGAGGTGGCTGAATTACCTGAGGCCAAACATCAAGCATGGTGGATTCTCTGAGGAAGAGGACAACATCATCTGCAGCCTCTACATCAGTATTGGAAGCAGGTAATTATAACCAGAAAAAAAGAGAATCAAAATATATGTTACTGACACAAGCTAACATGGTTATGTGGTAGTGATAAGAGAGCTTTTCTGAGGGTTTTTGGGCCATGATTCTCTTGTCTTGTTTCATTTGTTTCTGATGCTTAGTGTCTAGGTTTAATTCTATATGTATACTCAAAATTTTCACATGCATCTACATCTGAAAAGGGGCATATATGAACTGGTTATATATTAGTGTTCTATATAAAGACTAAAGAGTAAATACACTTAGTTAACCCTACTTCCACTCCATTTATGATCATTCATTTGTATAAAATGTAACTAATATTTGTATGCTGCACCGTGCGTCTTCATTTCTATGTCATGTCACGAACCAATTTATCGTGCATAAGCATAGTCTAACTATGATTCTAAGTATTTGGTTAATATTCTTGAAACGAGTTACATAATTAGTTAGATCGTGATTTTTATTATTTTATTTTATGATGTATATGTATACTTCATTCCCGAACCTTCTTGTTAATAAAGATTATCTTCGCACATTTAAGTACTCGCAACTTGAATATAAATTTATGTTGCATATAATCACAATTTTACTATGTCGAAAAATCATTTCATGTCAAATAACTCGTGTAATTCATCATCGTTTTGTTAGGTGGTCGATCATCGCGGCTCAACTTCCAGGGAGAACAGACAACGACATCAAAAACTACTGGAACACAAGGCTGAAGAAGAAGCTTCTAGGCAGAAGGAAGCAGCAACAACAACTCCACCACCAACATCAACAATCTCCTGATCATCAGGGCTCTCAGGCCGCCGCAGCCGCCACCACCGTGGAACATGACCATCACCACCATCAAGATCATCAGCAAAGTCCAACATCAACATCTAATGGTCTGAGCAACTCAGCTCTAGAAAGGCTGCAGCTCCACATGAAGCTCCAAACCCTAAACCAAAACCCATTGCTCCACAACATGCTTTGGCCAAAGCTCCACCCTTTCCAAGAGAAGTTACTCCTCCAAGCCATGAATGATGAGAACAGCAACAACAACATTATGCAATTGCCTCTCTTGCCACAGCCAATAATGATGGAATCTCCATTAAGCAATATTGGAAAGGAGATAATGATCAACCCTACTAATATTGCTAGTGAGACCATGGCCATGACTGCAACTACTTCATCCAATACCACGACTACAACTACGACTACGACGACTAATGGAATATTGGATCACTCAAATTGCTCTCCTAGTATGATGAACAATAACAATATTAATGTCTCGAGCTATGGTGGTGCTTTCCAATTAGGTGGTGGTGATTTCATGATGGGGAACTTGGACAATGGTACTACTAGCAGCCTGGTGTGGTGGTCGAATGAGTTTGAGACGAATGATGTGAACTATGATAGGTCTGGATCGTTTTCATCGTCGTCGAATGATTCGAGCTGGGATTGTGCTCTTCGATCTTCTGATGATGCGGGTTTGTTCTGAATGTAGATCGTCATGAGCACAATCGATTCGAGATCGAGGAAATGGTACAGTAGCAGCAGCTTGTGATGTATTGTATTATTGTTCTTGTAATGGTTCATAAGATATGGTGACGAAAGAGAGATGGAAGAGCTAGCAGCTATATAGCTTCTTTAATTTGTGGTTGTAAGCAAGTGTGTGAATAATGTATGTTAGTAGTGTTGGGTACATACTTGGCTTGTTCATGTTAATTATATTCCTTTGGTTATATGTGTGGTATGGTAGTTCTATTTCACTTTGGACCTTGAACCTATATCGATTTTGATCCTTTGTAATTGGGCATAGAATAGATTTGGTCCCTAGTTTTATCCATTTATAACCTACAATAAGATGAAAAGCAAGTGAACATTTTGTTACGAGTTCTAACTAGCATTACTTGATGGAATTTTGGATGAAGGTGAACGCAAGTGAACATTTTGTTACGAGTTCTAACTAGCATTATTTGATAATTCAAGATTGAACCTTTGAGACTTTACACTTTGATTAGATGGTTGTCTACATTACTATAGCAAAGCTTCTGAAATTGTCACTAGATTGTCAAGAATGGTCAATGACCTATCATATATATACACAATAAACCGGCATTGAGCCTGGCATCCAATATGTAGAGAAAAACTTGTGAAACCAAGCTCCTTAAACAAGGAGAGCACATCAATCCATGAGATCACAAATGAGGTTTCTTCTCCACCTTGAAGACGATGACAGATTCTGATATTCATCGCGAGTAGTAGTAATTGTACCCATTGTAATCCTGTTCAGAAGCGATTTGGCTGGAGAGCAAAGGCTTCCCTTCCATCCTCCTCCCTTCTGGCTCTTGTAGGTATCTCCTGTCTTGAATGTACGATTCGATCTCCATGATTATGAGCCTCAGGTCAGGATCATCACGGGTTTTCAGCGCGTTGAGAAAGTGACTCGAGACCATGTGCAGCAACTTCCTGAATTGGGACTTGTACTTTCGATACAGAACAAACCCTGCAGGCTGCACAAGAAAGGGGGGAAAAAAGGTTGGATGATTTCTTGTGATGGGAGTAAAGAAGTCTACAAGATTGAGGAATCAGAAAACTGACTTACTTGGAGGAAAGCATTCAGTGCCACTGCAGTGAATGCATTTGCTGGGAGAGCGTTTAGGAATCTGGCAAGCCACAACCAGCCTGCTGCTGGGCCGTGAGAGTTCTCAATACCACGTACTGTTTCTGTCTGGTGTGATCATATAGTGGTTTTAGATGATGACAAGACTCGGATGACTGAAAGAGAAAGATGACTGAAACCATACCTGAACCAGAGCTCCGTACAATCTCATGTAAGCTTCCATACGTCTTAAGTAATCTTTGACACTCTCAAGTTGCCCGCCATCTTCCTTAAACCCGAGCTGTTCTTTGTAATAAGCCTCTTTAGAGCTGAATGCAGCCTGGAGTACACAGAGCGAAGACTTAGAATGATGGACAAGAATCATGTAAACGAAATTGACTGCAAAATTGCTTACCTTTGAGTAAGCTATATGCTTCGGGACAGTGTATATGCAAGCTTTATGGAAATCGGCCAAAATCAGATCCATTGCATATGGGACCTGTTATGAAAACAATTTAACAGATGTAGATCCAGAAAATGTTGATCTAAAACGGTAGGCAACTAATGGAAGTGATCTCCAAAGCAAAATTTAAGCAATATGTAGAGCAGAGAAATAGAACACAAGAGCGACATCAGGGAATGCATAGAAGTCGAGAAGCAGAGAGGACACCACATAAGCATGCTGTACCTGTGAACTGATGAGGACTATTACTTGAGCAGATGCAAAAGCGGCATTGTCAGGGTTTTCACAATGCTCAACAACCTGTATATTATAAAATTTACTTAAGAATTTAAAGCCCTGTAGAAGACCAGTTTCGAGAACTTAACAATCTATCTTGGACAATTAAGGAAGATAACGAACTTCAAATATCAATAAGAATGAACATGAGATTCTAGAATTCAGTGGAAAGCCTTTCCGAAAACTCTATTACCCAACCATCTAGCGATTAATATCATAATAACTATAACCTTCTCACTGAACAGTCAAGATTACCTTCTTTGCAAATGCTGCAACGGTGATGGACTCGGGGCATTCAGGATTCTTGAAAATCTTTAGAAGTTCACTTGCTTTTGTGCTGGGGTTATGAAAATGACATGACAGTTAATGAAATAAGAAGAAAATTTTATCCTTTCAAGGAAAATTAAGATCAGCTGACGGTTTGCTAAGAAGTTGGTGCCTTAAACATACTTGTAGAAGTAACCAAATAGTTCATTCAGCAAGAAGTAATAATCTCATTGCTAATAGGAAGTTTCCATAAGAGGAAGAGAAATCCCCTTCTTGAACTTTTCCCCCTTTAAAAGACGCAAAGAACAGTTCTAAGACAAGTATCTTACCGTACATTTTCTTCTATCCCCCTTATCTGTCTTATCAGTCTACCAATTGGCGGTGTATGCTTGTCAAGGTTCTAAACAGAATGAAACAGGAAACTAGTCATATGGACTGCTTGAGATAAGATCCAATAGCAACAGAGGAACAAAGTGAAACTCAGAATCCAAATGCCAAACAAGACCGACTCCTGATGAGCCAAATCTATTTGGACATTGACGCAACACAATCAACAGCATACCATATTGGACATTGACATGAGAGACTGATTTTGGTTTTCTAGCTCTCTAAGCTTCTGTAGCCTTGCTTGTTCCAGAGAAAGAGCTGAAGCAGAAGCTCTCACTATATCACCTGTCACAGACTAGTGAGTCAGAATTCCAAACCTCCACCAGATGCGAAGTTCATCAAAAAAGCATATGTGAAGCACTAAAAAAATGCACCAAAGAATAAAGAAGACTGTCTGGAGAAACTAAAATGGTTTCTGTGGTAGAAGGAAGTCAATAACTAAGCTGATTCAAGATACTGAATGCAGATGTCTTTGAATTAAAAGCATAACCAGTAGAAATGTACACTAAGATAGAGCACCTGCAGTAGCATTAGTCTGCACAGGTGAGATAACAGTTCTTGAATCCTCAATTTTACCTGCTTCCTCCTTTTCTTTTTTCTCTGCTTCCAATGCAGCTATTCTAGCTTCCTCAGCTCTACGTTTAGCCTGTGCATTCAAACCAGGAACCATGATTATTTTTCTGCTAGCTATTACATTGTGCTTTTAACTGCTAGGATAATAACCTCACAATGAAATATAACTCAAAATGAAAATAATTAGCCATGAAGGGCACATGCATGCACGAAATAGAACGGAGATCGCGCGCTTGCTATCACTGAATCCAAGAGTTTATTAAGAACAAATAGCAATAAACCAAAAATATCTAATTTAACTTAACATACATGCGCTTCTTCTCTGGCTCTTTCTTGACGTAGTCTCTCTTCTTGAACAGCCTTTTCCTTTCTCTTTGCCTCTTCTAGATCAATCCTTATTCTTCTTTCTTCCATCTGGGACTTAATTTCATGATCCCGCTGGATAGAAGTCAAGTGATCATCTAGTGCTTCAGCACTACATAGTAAACATATTAATTGCTCATTCATCATGATAGTCACAAGTTCTGGATTTCAGAAACAGATTGAAGAAATTCAGATCCAAGAAGCAAAGAGTTGTTTACATGTTACGCTGGTACAAGGTGTCGAGTTTCCAGTCTGTGTCCCTTCTCGCTTCACTATACTTGTCAATACGAGCAAATGCTGAAGCATCCTTTTGATATTTTCTCATCAACTCCATCTCCAATGCTGATATTTGTCTTCTAATCTCCACCTATACCGGATTTACTTTCCCATAAACTAACTAGTACAACATATGCCAAATCATAAGCAGTAATCAAACGACTTCCCATCCACGCACCTTCAGTTCAAGTTGATGTTGATCAAACAGCTCAAACAATGCAGCTTCCACCAACCCAACTTCATCCATTAAGTAGGGTTGAACATCAAGAGCGCCAAACTCTTGACCAGAATCCTCATTCTCTCTGAGACACATCTTCGAAACCATACGCAACATTATGACTGATACCGATACATATATCATAGAACCTTAGCTCAACTACTAAAATTCGTCAAGTTCAAAACTTTAACATAACCCACAACATGCACATTACCCTGCATTAGCATCGTCAAAATTGATTCGCTTCGCCGCTACTAAACCTCGACTATCATCCTCCTCGCCGTCAGAAACTTCCAGCTCCTCGTCAGATACTCTCATGGAGAATGCCGCTGGAAGCCTCTTCGCTTTTTCCCCATGCGGACATCCCCTGGAACAAAACCCCCCATCAAAATTCACGGACCCAAATCAATCCAAATCGGAGAAATCAAGCTTCCGACCGTCTATTTTGAACTGTGGGGGAAAGAGGGTTTGAGTACCGAGATTGATTTTTAGCAAAAGGTGCCGGAAAATTGGCCGACGAACTAAGCTTCTCCTCGAGCGAATCGAGCTCCGACCACAGAGACTCGAAGCTCCAGTTTGGCTCGGGTTCGAAAGCAATCCCGTGAACTCTATGCGGAAAACGAAGCTCCAATTTCCCACCTCCCCTGAGACAGAAACTTGAAAAAGTCATAAACTTTGGCCGACGGAGGGAGGGAATTCAGCACATCGGCGAGTTAACTACGTACATGATTCCGGCGTAACTTCAACGGATTGCTGGAACGAATTGAAAATGAAGGGGAATGAAATGCGAGGAAGGAGAACGCGCGGTTGGCTTGGCTATATATAAAAGTTGGCTAAATTGCAAGTTTGGTCACTGGAATTACTAATAAATTTTACGTTAGCCACTGACATTGCTTTATTCCATCCGTAGTCACTTAGATTAGGTTAACAGTTCAAGTTTGGTCACTGGCCGTTAGTCTCCGTTAACTTTTGATGATGTGGCGGTCAACTCTTATAGTTGACCGTTAAATGAGTGACGTGGCAATTAAAAAATAATAATTTTTAATTTTAATAATTTTCACTCATTATTACAATAAATTAAAAAATAATTAAAACAAAAAAAGTTCACAAACAACGGCCAACGGCGGAGGATCGAACAATTCAAACAACAGCAGCGGTGGAATCACCACCATCACCTCCAGATCATTAACCATCCGGCGACAGAGCTAGGATCAGTTCCTCAATCACATGCAATCTCCCTTGTTTTCTCCGATTCCGCAACTGTTTGCATCGCTTGACACTTGACTGTTTCCATACGTCCAAGTCTATATACAATACGAATCAGAACTTCACACATCTCTCTCGCTCTTTCGCCCTCATCCCGATTCCCTCATCTCACCCAAAATTGGAAGCAATCAGCGGCGGCTGGAAAATGGACGGGGCCGGCGGGAGGTATAGATTGAACAATCGGGGTGGCGGCGGCGGTGGGGGCAGAGGAAGGAGAGAGATAACGACGATCTGATACTGTTCAAGGATTTGAATAGAAGGGAGAAGGATCAGGCAGCAATTCTTCTCTAGCCCATATCCGATGAGTTCGAGGTTAACGCCGGTGAGAAGCTAGACGATTTCAATCTTCCCTGGTAATGCTTTTATAGTGATATAGATAATCATAAAGATGGTTACTTTTTTAATTTCTGTGTTCAGGGCGGCAGCGGGGTCTCACCATTCGTTCTACCGTATCCCGTAGGCGAAGAAAGACGGATAGCAGGGCTATGAGTTCTTCGGGGGCGGCGGACATGGCAAAAACGATTATGATTGGTATAAATGAAGATTATCTTAGTTAAATTAAGAACCCACTTTGAAAATCATCTTCAGTTCTTGTCCTGATTGAAAAAAATGCGTTCCTTTTGTAATGGTAATGATATATGGAAAAAAGGTTAAAAACGCCGTCGGCAACTCCCCTATTCCCGTCTCTCGAAATGGAAGGCAATCGGTCGGACTTATTGGTCCAACGGGAGATCACCGTCGTACAGCCTCTATCAACCGGTGATTCCGCGGTGCTGTTGCTTGAATTGTTCGATCCTCGGTCGTTGCGGTTGTTTGTGACATTGTTTTTAATTATTTTTTAATTTATTATAATAATGAGGTGGAAATCATTAAAACTTAAAATTTTTTAATTTTTTTAATTTTTTAATTGCCACGTCACTCATTTAACGGTCAACTATAAGAGTTGACCGCCACATCAGCAAAAGTTAACAGAGACTAACGGTCAGTGACCAAACTTGAACTGTTAACCTAATCTAAGTGACTACGGATGGAATAAAGCAATTTCAGTGGCTAACGTAAAATTTATTAGTAATTCCAGTGACCAAACTTGCAATTTAGCCTATAAAAGTTTCAGAATTCCGAAATTTGGGGGGGGGATTGGGTTCCGTTATTTTCCCGCTGGTTCGATTTCTTTTGGGCTTTTCGGGCCTCCGTAAGTTCGGGCCGGGGGAGGAGAGTTTGGCCCAGGTGTTTTCCGTGTCGTATTCGGATTAGTTATGAAAGGAAGTATTACAGATAATATGCTAATACAAAAAGGCACAGGGTATATATAGCAATGAATTCTCTCAGATTGTAATGATCCAGATGTTTGTATTGAAAAAAATCATAGATGTTGTTTATCTTATCAAGAAGCATAATTTGTGAACCACCTCTTACTGCATTGTCCATCCTCGCGACGGATATTGAGTTGTTTGTTATTTCGCATGAGCACACATGGACCCTTGTCTTGGAAGTGCACACAAGTTTCTATTGTAGTAGGACAATATCAGTAAACGCTTAAAAAAAGAATGTAGCAAGCTTCTACCTTGTGATGTGTGGTGGAACATCTGGTTAGAGCGAAACGCAAGAACTTTACAACTGATAAATAAATGGGGATAGGGTGAGGGATAAGAAAAGAAGTGTGAAGTTCAATGATGTAAGACTTTCAAAAAAAAAAAATTCATTTATGATATAAATTCATGTCTTCCAAAGCAACAAGAACAAACATATCAAATTGAAGGCACGATATACAATTGGTGCAAAGAAAAAATAATAACATACGCTTTTGACGAACAGTCGATCAACACCTCGAGCACTCTCATGCACCCGAACCAACCTAATCCATACCATACACTCTACTTTTAGCTTTTTGTGCCTGGTAGGAAAAATAAAGAGAAATACATTATAAAGGATCGATCCAAAAATTGAGATGTTTTGTAAATAATGAAATAGGTCAAGTTAATTCGAATTGAGCCAACCTCTTTCTCCCAATTCGTTCTCGTGATCATTATTGTGAGGAACAATACTTGAGAAACCATTGCTATTTGAATTCCTATCCAAAGACCCTATCAATAATCACACCCATCAACAATCCACATTGTGCATACATACCAATCTAACATATATAAGAAACCAATCAAAATTTTAGGCCACATTGTACAAAATATTGTATACCTTTCCTCCCACATGGTAGACAAAAGCTAGCACTATGGAGCAAGGAATTCCTAGTAGATAGAAAGCACCCAAGTTGACAAGAGCTCCAAGCTTTTGCCTTCCACATCCCCTACAAATGCCTGCCCAAGAAGTTAGTTTCATATTATCTCAGATGAATGATACAAATGTCCATTTCTTTGCAACAATCACATATGAATCCATGAACCTGCAAGAACGCCATTGATGGCATCAAACACATGGAAAGCCGCAATCAGCACCATCATCTCTCCGATGTATTTCACCACTCTCTCTTCCTTGCTGTACAGTGGACCCCAGACATTCCGGCCGAATACCAGGACCATTCCGGCCAGGCCTGCCTCCGCCACGGCGACGACCATTGCGACAAGGATGGCTAGAAGTGCCGACCTTGGCCGCCCGGCACCAAGTTCATTCGAAACCCTAGTGCTATATATAGGAAGCAAACATTCAAGTGAGATGTACTTAGCAAAAAAAAAACCAGTATGATACTATAACATTTGGCAATTTAGGGTTCAGAGAGTGGCTTATTGTGATTTGTGACCAAATCTCTCACCTCACAGCATCACCAAGCCCGAGTGGTATCATAAAAATCAGTGTGTATGTATCTAAGCTGCAAAAATTCAAAGCAACCCGAATTGGGGAATGATTCAGTTAATAACCACAAGTACTTATGCAATTATGTACATAATAGTTTTCACGCTAAAATTTAATGGACTATATCGCACTCATTTTGAACTCAAATTTCAAATTTTTTGCATCATAAAAATCGTATTAATTTATAAACTCGCACCCAATTTAATATATTATGAAAAAATATGTTTAACGAGATATTTTTTATCACATTATTGTGGTAAATCTTTGTGTTACCAAATATTATATCATGAGAAGTATGAAAATATATCATGGTGTTAAGAATATATATCATAATGCCAAATGATGCTAAGAATATACAAATCACCACCTACACCGTGTAACATTATTTACCACCATCCTAGCTATCTCTATGGTAGAGGATTATATAATTGGTTTGAAATTTTTTCATGGATTGAGAGGTTTCTATTGAAAGGTGTGAGTCTATGGAACGAAGTCTTTCACAAGCCGAGTTAAAATGAAGGCGGTAAAGAATGATAGAGGGTGTTCTGAATTTTCCCCCGATATATATAGAAAAAGGTAATCGTTCTCTCTAGTCTCTAGTTGGCTAGATTTAAGTCTTAGGGCTTGATTGGCCCACCCCATACCCATCAAACATTTTGCGGGTTTTATCCATACCAGCCCCATACCCGGTTAAAACAGAGATTCACAGCGTTGACTGGATTGGGGGCGGTCAGATACCTGCGATCATGAGTAATGAGTTTGATGGTTATCCCTACCTGCATCGGTGCCCCTCCTTTCCACCTCTCTTCCTTTTTTTCCAATGACTGATTCGTCACTGGCATTTCCGATTCCAACTGTTTAGATCCAATATGCTTCCGATTTAGGAAGAACCGTCGAAGCCTTGACCAAATTAATTGTTATGATTCTCAATTTATCATAAGATAATCGGCTCTGTTTTTATCCGCCGGAGGTTGTCAATAGCGGTCTTAGAATGCTTAAGGCAGTTCGTGAGCAGGATGCAACACATCAGAACTCAGAAGCACTATGTAGTTAATTGGTCAGATTCTCCGGCAAGTGTTGTTGTTGTTGTTGATTCTCCGTATGGATGGATGAACAAAATCTCAGGCAAATATATAAAAACTTAATATCATTTAGTAGACCCCAATAAACTCATTCATCATTCCCTACAAATTTACCTAGCTAGCATATTCAATTTCCTCTACTAGTTATTTTCTATTTTTGCTCTCTCTCTTCTAAGAATAGGAATACTACATATATAGTAGAAACACTAGCTGAAAATATGCATATTTAGCAAACCTTATGGACAAGACAGACGTTTCGAGCTTTGGATTTGGAAGCAAGCCTCCCAATAGCACCACCATCTCGTACGACCATTCCTCCAAGCTACATGCTTCTAGCTAGTTAATTAAACCCACAAGATCAACCAAACTAAAAACTCAAAAATAGATATCAAGACCAAGATATTCAACGTATATATATAAAAATCTTCACCTGACCATGATAGCAGAAGGAACGGCCAGCCTAACGAACCCCGGAATCCCACGCAACGCCTCTATAGACCAACCGGTCCAAGTCCGCTTGCAAGTCGGCGAAACCCTAACGTACACAAACATCGCCACGGCGCTGATCCAGCACGAGATCCCGTTCGCCAAAGCGGCACCCGGACTCCCGAGCCCGGCCCAGTAAACCAGGGCCCAGCAGAGCGGCACGTGGAAGAGCGCGGCGGCCCACGTCGCGACCGTGTACGGGGCCACGTTGTTCTGCGACTGCAGGAACCTGTAGTGCGGCTCGAGGATCGCGAGCCCGAATACGCTCGCGATCTCGAACCGCGCGTACCTCCCCGCTTCGGCCGAGATCTCCCGATCCTGGCCGAGGCACAGGAGGATCGTTTCGGCGTGAGCCGAAACGAAGGAGAGCGGGATGGCGGCGAGGACCAGGACGATCGTGGCTCGTTGTAGGTGGGTCCCGAGCGCGTGGTACTCCCCGGCTCCGTACGATTGCCCGCATAGTGTCTCCAACCCACCTCCCAACCCTCTCTGCGCGAGAGAAATGACATCGCGTATTAAGACAGAGTTATTGAGATGAGTTGGTTTTGTGTTTTTTTTTTTGTTTTTGTTTTATTTACGTTACGTACCAAAAGGGACCAGGCGGTGACGGACGTGAAAGAAGTGGCCATGGAAGCGCCGGCGAGGGGTAGCTCCCCGAGATGGCCGACGAACATGAGGGAGATCAACTGGAGAAGGTACGTCAAGAAGTTGACGGAGACGAGTGGGCCGGCGAGGCGTAGCTGCTGCTTCACTTCTTCCACGACCTCGCTCTTGCTGAACTTCGCCCTACCGCCATCTGTGGCGATAGTACCCATCAATGGAGTTTGGAGATGATGAACACTTGGCTTGTTGGTCGCATCATGAAGAAGATCCATTTTTGGTTTGTTTTGGTTTTCTTCTCTTTTTTTTGGGGTTATCTTTGGCGCTAGCTAGCTAGCTCTTAATTAGTTCGCCTCCAACTAGACGTTTTGATGAGAGTTCTTGTGTTGTGTTTGTGCATGGTGGTGGGAATGAATATAATAATGCGTCTTCGAGGAACTAGTTCAGCGGCCGATACAGAACAGGTTAGACCATTCGGCCGCATTTAAAAAGTGATGGAGAGGCCGGTTGGATCGTAACACAATAAACACTTAAATATATACGCAAAATTGAAAATTTACAAGTACTATACGAGTTTTGAATCCGGGGAGGGCTGAGCCGTGGCCCGGGGGAAGCCCCCTAGATCCGTCGCTGTTACTAGTTTCGTTTCTTGTTTGGTTCGATATCAACTTTTCGTCCGGGGTGGTTGGTTACGTTCTTTGGGTTGGTGTACTCATTTAAGTATTGGAACGATGCATTTCACACTGATCAAATTGATGAAGTGGGTTGTAAATATGGCTATGAACTCTGATCTCAATCGTGAACTATACCGTGTCTTTTTGAGTGACCGAAATGTAACAAAAGAGGTGGAGAATTGTATGTATGGCTATTTTTGCAATTAGTAACATTGAAAGTGTTCCATCAACATCATCATGCATTAATGTATCTCACTTTCCTTTGGTTATTAGCTGGAGGTGTTGCAACTGGCATTCCTTATTGGCTCATGGGGTGCTTTCGAAGGACAAGAACTCCTCGAAAAGACAATAGGTTTAAGTGGTACCCCTATCTACCGCTGGCTTTCGTGTACTGCCCAATAGCATGTGGACACACATCTTTGGTAACTAACACTATGTTTCTTAAGGAGAGAAAAGGAGGGAAAGGAAAATTGAGGAGGGAAAGTGAGATTCCCAATGTATTTTTCCTTGTTCATTTATGGAGGGAAAGTAAGTAAGGAAGGAAAATTATCCCCCCTTGGTAATATAGGTGGTCGTTCGGTTATTGGTTAACCGGCCGGTTAAACCGATAAACGCCCGGTTATCCACTAACCGGTAACCGAACTAACCGAATTTACCTGAACTAAACGAACTTCGGTCGGTTATCGGAGGCTGGACGAAATGGTAGTTGGTCTTAAAAGTGGTTTGGTTAACCGATAACCGAGACATCGAAGCTTATTTCGGGCGGTTTTCGGTAAGGGGAGTGATTATTTTGGTTAACCGATAACCGGCCAATCGGTTACCGGTTATAAACGAAATAACCGAACTGCCACCCCTACTTGGTACTATTCAACCCACTACTCCAAATTGGAGAGAAAGAAGAGGGAATGAAGGACACACATGCATGTTCTTCTTTTTCTTCATTTTTAAATATTTGCCTAATAGTTAAGTTTCCAACACAAAATAACATTAATTATTAATTCAATTGCTAACTTCATTATTATACAAGATTATTAACTTCACCCACTCTCTCACAATCCTTATTTGTTTTGTACTTAATCTCCTTTTTTTAATAATTCCGTACTTAATCTCCAAAATAAGATTAAGTGAGTATTTTTAATTACTAGCATGAAAGTAATCAAATTAGTCCTGGTGACTTTTAGCCTTCATTCTGCTTCCTTACAAAATTAATTAGTAACAAAGAAGTAGCCAAATAAAAATAATTATTTCAATGACAAAGAAGAATCCTTGATCAATTATTATAAATTCTCTATTTTTAAATGATTGATGTGGTTAATCACGGTTTTTAAATAAATAAAGTCTCTATTTACTATTACATAACTAATAATAACATATATTCATCACACTTCCCAAGACACGCTTTTCTTCCTACTTTCCTCCATAAAACAATATTTTCCTTCCAATTTCCTTCACCTCCAAATCTCTCCTCCCCTCCAAATTTTCCTTCACCTCCTCTCCTTTTCCTTCCTTCAATGGAAAACATAGTGTAAAGAAAACCTACCCACATTTCTTGGAACGTGCCAGAATTCGTCAATTCGAACATCGCTATACATATATATTAAAATTAAATAGGAGCTTAGGGACCAAGATGTGGCAGTCGCACGAAATGCCACAAAAAAGATCGCACTCATTAATTAGTCATTACTCTAGGTGATATGTTCGATGGGAGGTTTCAATCCATGGTACTTGGTAGTTGGTGGTAGGTGAACGACGCCATTCATAACATTTTTAGAGTTGCACAATTTCTATTAGAGTGGGTATTATCCTCAACACAGCATGGTTTCCGCACTTTAATTTGAAGGGATAAAAGAGTTCTAGTTATCAGTTATGGATCGTATACAGTAAATACGTTTCCTCAAATGAAATTTAACTCATATGGGTTTAAAGTTTACACTAATTAATAATCTGAATACGGAATACCAAATGAAATTTAACTCATTCGAGTATTTCTTTCTTTGTCAGTCTACTATAATGTGTTCCTAAATTACATCATGGGTAGTTGTTTGGCTTTTTTTATATGACTAACAATGATTGGTTCTTAAATCGTTGATCGAGATTATTGAATGAGCTACTCGAAGCTCGGTAGCAATCGAATTTGGTTTCAATTAGAATTGGAACACAAGAGTGGTTATTGGAAGCTCATTGATTCTTTCAGGATTGTTTCTAGGTTTAATTCACGCACTACTTCATTTTAATCATTGTTGTAGTTAATTTCAATTATCGTCCACAAGTAGTGATGAATACATGCATTGGAGAGAAATTTGAAGAAATTGGTCAATCTTTATTATATTTTGATTCTGATCTCATACTATTAATTGTGCTTAGTCTAGAGGCATGGTTGATTTCACACACACGATAAAACCAGATATAAGTGGAGCAAATATGGAACAAGTTGGCTGCTACTATCAAAGTTAGTTTTCACGCCGAGACAACTCTATGACATCATATGATGAGCTCAGTCAAACAAAGGGTCGCACATAACAATTATCAAAGATGAGGACTTACAAAATGCATATAGTGTAAAAGAAAGTTTCTTAAATTTAAAATAAATATCAAATACCCGAATACATAAATGTAATGAATGTAAATGAATAAATCTATACTATTCCATATCAAAGTTTAAAAAAAATGGTGCATTTGGTCAATTTGCTAAGTCCAATTTTACCCAAAAGAAAATTTTCAAAATACTTTTTAATCATCCGCGACAAAGCGCGGTGGATGGCTAGTTGACTTATAAAATTTATTTCTTATTTTCTTTTTCTTTCATTCAATTTGTACCACCACTGAATTAGAATTACTTGGTAGAGATCTGCATCAGTTGTACGTGGAGTAGGTAACAGTTCCATTCAATTGGAGTTGAGAGAAATTAATTTAGTAAGAAGTGGAGCCGACAACAAATTAGGTTTCAAAATCTGAAAGAAGGGGTTTTGTTGTGAAATGTAAATTTCAAACTACACTATGCACCTATTTTCATTGGTGATAGCAATTGGTCGGGCATTATATCCATATCCAACCCGTATTAAACCCAAATTAGGATGGATAATACTTGTGTGGGTATAAGATGAGGTGACTCAATTGATTTCTATATGGTACAAGAAAACCTTATAAATTAACGAGAGATACAATATAAGGAATAGTTAACTCTAAATAATTGAAAGATAGAGTCATAAAATTTATTTGAAATAAAAATACGATTTTAAGAAGTCAAAAGAGGAGAAATACAAAGGGGATATGACATATCTAAATTAATAACTATATATGTCCCTTCACACGCTATTGCGAGTCAGAAAATATCCGCCCTAAACATATCGTAGCAAGCGAATCAGATAAAAAAATTGACATCGCTAATTTCCATCATTAGATAAGTACACAAACTATTTCTTCACATAGATAGGAACTAGCTAGCTAGACTAGGCTAAAAGTTCAGGGTCAAGATCGAGCAAATTTTGGACATACACTAAAATTGCAATCCAACCGTACATACTCACTCATAGTTGAATATTTCATTTTTCTGCCCTTTGGTAAAGCTTCTTCCATAACAACAAAGTGCTCGTCGTTTCGTGTGGAGATTCGAACATGGTCACCGAGATGAAGTGGCCAAGGAAGCGCCGGCGAGTGAGATGGCCGACCAACGTCACCGAGATCGCCTGCAGCAAATACGTCAAGAAATTGAACGACACATGTAGCCCAGCTAGCCCCATCTGCGCGCTTCCACATCTCTCCAATAAGCGAAGTAGTCTTGGGCCCATTAGGAACCATCCTATTCCTAGCCCATCTGCACTGCACATGATCAGAATTCAGAATTCAGCCCTTTATAGTTAACTTTTGTTTTGTAGACAATATTGACGAGGATTGGTTTTGTGAAGTTAATCCCAATGCTTTAAATTGTCGGAATATAGGTTTAAACATGATGCGATTATTAGTGGATCGCTGAGATTCGAACAAATAAGAATTCTCGATCACGGAAGGATCGGATATTATGTCAAGTACCAGTTGCACGGATAAAAATATCATGTGCTTAACGTACTTGACAAATGGGATCGTCATGATGCAAACATAAAACCTTTCGATCATTGAATAAATCAATTAATTTCAATAACTCAAATTATTATAATAGGTGGCTACTTCGGTGCACTCAATTTTTTGGGTGAATTCAATGCACCCACTCCAAAAGTGGTTATAATATATCAAATTTTGAAACATTAATTGGTAGCATTAGTCTAATATGATGATATAACATGGAATCACAACTAATCAATCGATTATCCAATCCCATAACCTTCAATTTTGAATCCCAACCCAAAACCCCAAATTGTAAACCTAAACCCCAACCCTAAATCCCTAAATCTCAAATCCTTCAAATTAAAGTAAAACTCGAATGATTTTTTTTTAAATCACGTGGTTCTTGTTCATAATATCATAAGCAACGATCAAATACCATCTTGACATGAATCGCATGCTCGAAATGACGATTATGAGACGAGTGCATTAAATGGAAAAAAAGGTGTACCTTATACGACTATACGCCCCATTCAACTATATATATCGTATATCATTTACTAAGGATATTAATTTAACAACTATTCAATTACATATAGAATAGATTAAGAAATGAGCCGTGGAGTGCAGGCAACGGGGCCCCCCAACAGCATAGACATTCGTGAATGATGAACGAGTAATTTGGTGATCGCCATGATAATGCGGCTACGTTGATTGAGGTATCTTGAAATGAAAGCCATCAATTTCTGCGATAATTATGGCCATTAACCATTATCCGACCAATCGATTTTCAACCCCAACCCAACCCAACCCACCACACTAATCATTTGGTAAATAATGTTGCTCTCACCACACTCCAAATAGTCCTACATATATTCCTGCCCCTCAAATCAATCATCCTTTCCAATCACTTATACCACAGAAGAAAAATTGCCTGTGTATTTTAGAAATGTGAGCATAAAAGGGCACACTAACCTTTACTACTTAACGATGGTACCTCCTAAGTCATAACATTTTAGTTGCGATTTGATGCCATTTACAAACTCGAGAAGAAGAAATCAAATGCATTTTTTTGACAATGTGAGACGAGGAAATATGACAAGAGTATATAGAGAGACCAATAATTGGCAGGTACCAATTGCCTACTAATTAACAGATATATATATATATATATCTACAAATATTCTTTGGTAGGTACTTGGAGAAAAGCCTGGCAATTGATCCATCATCATTATTTGTATTCCTTAATTGTTAAACTATACTGATTGCTACCTACTAATTATCATATAAGTACTTAAGCAAGCTTTAGACTATACAGAAACAGAAGTAGCAAGCCTGTCCCAAGCTCATAGAGCCCCCAACCCAACCCTTTTCATACTTAAAGATTATGTCCTAATTAATTAACTAATTAAGGATATACAATTAGTTAATTACTCTGACAAAGTATCATAAGATTATCTTTATATATGATTGAAGGTTCCTTTCCTTCTACAAGGATATCTATTTTGAACTCAATAATATGCTAGCTCATCACCAAATCATTAGAAAATACCCGTGCAAAATGTAGGTATATATGCACCCCCAAAAAAATATTAATTAACATAAATCCAAGGAATATTGAAGGGTTCAAAGTTCATGTATTGGATTATAATTGTATAAGTACTTCTCAATCTAATTCCTTGGAGGGTCATCAAGATTTTCACTACTTTAATTCTCAACAATATTATTCTAGAATTCACCAATCAAAAGCATCCCTGGGTTATTAAAATCAAATAAATTCGTGCTCCTATGTTCATCATTATAGTCCATTTACCTTATTTCTTGGTTTCATATTAGATCTACAAATGCACTCCACCGTAAAAGGCTTCCTAATTTCATATTTTTGCATAATGAGGGTGGAATTTTTGTGGAAGGAGAAGTTAAATCATAGCTTAGTAAATTGATCGAAAAAATTATGCGAACAAGCCTGATATGAGATGGATCGGTTAACTCATGAGTTAGATTCGATCGTGCACATCAAACTTTGGCATACTTCACTCATAAACGAAATTTCTTTTTACTAGACTATGTTCTATGAGCTATATCACTTTATCTATCCATGGAATAAGTGCGACAACTAATTAGAACTCTATGCACCAAAATATGACATGAAAACTTTTATCTCTTATAAATTATACGGACTTCAGTAATCATATAGTTTGACGTCAAATATAATGATACAAAAGCAGCTATATCATAATCTTCACATAAATCTCTTCCTTACACATACGATCTAGAATAAAATCACACAAATCATATTCCGAGCACAATCGATATAATGCATTTATGATTTTACAACCTATAGATTGACCAACCAATTGAATTTTGGTGAATGCAAACATCAAGAAAACCTACACAATTGAGAATTGTCTTTGTATGAGATAACAACAAGGGGGAAAAGTTAGAACTTGGCATATAAGTGAATCATCTTGATTAAAAATCAACATTGAAGTCCTAAAAAAAACATTTTCTTCTCTTCTTTTTTCCAATTCTATATCTAATTATATATCCAATCTCAAATACTTTTATATTTATCATCCTTAGCTAGCTATTCCCTACCAAACACACAAATTTGTGGCAATCATTATCGAACATGGTTGCCACCCCATCAATCCCCCTTTGACAACTCTCCCACCTCCCAAAAAAAAAAAATTCCCCACCAACTCCCCAAACTTTCCACTTATTTATATAAACCCCCTCCCCCCTCCAAAATTCCCCCCCTTTACCACTCCTCCATCAAACCAAAACAATGCACATCAGCCCCGGCAACGGCCGCCGGAGCCCGGCCGCGGCATTCACCACTCTACTCATTCTCCTCCTGATCGTCAACGGCGAGGCTGCCACCTCAGCATTGGCCAGCAAGAGGGCCTACAAGAGCGCGGCGGCCCAGTTCATGGGCCCGCAGAACGCGGCCAGGGCGGCGCTCAAGATGCCGCCCCTGCGTTGGGACGCGCGGCTGGCGGCGTACGCGTCGCGGTACGCGGCGCGGCGCAAGTGGGACTGCGCGCTGGTGCACTCGAACGGGCCGTACGGGGAGAACATCTTCTGGGGGAGCGGTGGCGGGTGGACCCCCGCGCAGGCTGCGGGCGCGTGGGTCGGGGAGCGGCGGTGGTACAGCTACTGGTCGAACTCGTGCGCCGGGGACCAGGACTGCGGGCACTACACGCAGATCGTGTGGCGCGGGACGAGGCGGGTCGGGTGCGCCCGGGTGGTCTGTTCGGGTCGGAGGGGGGTGTTCATGACGTGTAACTACGACCCGCCCGGGAATTACGTTGGGGAGAGGCCGTATTGATGATCAGATTTGGTGGTGATGACAAACAAAAATCTGATTATATGATTAATCATCATAATGATTGATTAGTTTTTTTTTTTTTGTTAAGACAATTCCGATTTTGATTTTTCTTTTTTCGCTTTCATTTCTCCCATGGGCTTTGCTTGTTATAATTTCATTGTACGTAACTAGTGATTACTTATTGAGACATTGAGCCGGCCTGGTGGTAATGAGAAAGAAAGCGAGTTGAACGGTTTATACGAGGAACAATCCGGTAATATCGGACCAATGAGATCAAACTATTATTTATATAATGTAATATAATGTCAATTTAATATAATTCAATTGATTATTGTGACGATGTTCAATTATAACTCTTAAGTCAAAAGGAAGTGTTGATTAGTTATGAATATACTTGTGAGTAGGAGTTTATAACCTGCTAGGGGAATTACATTAGGAGGGCAACTCATATTGAGATAGGAAAATTTAAGACTGATCATTATGATTACATTGGGCTAATTCCAAATCACTATTTGATAGAGAACATCACTAATGATTTTGATCATTACACATACATATTGTTGGCCACCTAAATAGCATGCCTTTCTGGGCCGGGTGGCCTAGTTTTATTGGGCTTGTTGCCGGTGATATTCATGGTCTCGCCCAACTACTTACTAGGCCTAGAAAAAGTTATGCTATATATATATTTTTTTATTGGAACCTGTATACATATATATTTTGTTGGTCGCCAATGAAATGTGGCTCATTTGGGTAACTCGTCATATGTTGTTTTTATCGCCAAAAATGTTAGAATGATTCGATTTCGTTTATTCGTTATGCAGCAAATAGAATTATCGTTATAATTTTGGATATCTCACTATTCTCCTTTTCAAAGTGATAATTTCTAAAAAAAAATTGAGATTGTGTTATGACTGTATTCTCCTCGTGTTTTAATTATCTTATTAGATGGTTACATAGTGACCAAACGTCATTTTTTAATTCACATTACAACTAGGGATGGCAACAAAACCCGAACCCACGGGTACCCACCCGACCCAACCCGGTCAACGCGGGTAAAATCCGTGTTGACGGGTTTTGGGCCGGGTTTGGGTTTAAACCCGTTCACTATTCATCAGGTTGGGTTGGGTTTGGGTTTAGGTAAACCCGGCCCGTGGGTACCCGCCCACCCATATAATTAATTTTTTCGGTATATTTAATATTCTTAACAACTAATCTTATTTATGTTTGTAGAGACATGTCTAATTTTTTCTATTTAATTGTGTAGAATAAAGTTGATGTTATGGAGTGGAGAGTAAAGAAACTTAATTGAAAGGAAGAAGCTTTCAACACATATTATTTATGGATAATTTGTGATTTGCTTCAATTTTCTTGAGTTTTCTAGATTGGTGTTTTTGTATAGTTAATTTGTGATTTGCTTGAGATTTCTAGAATGGTGTTTTATATATGGATAATTTGTATTGAGAGATTGATATTTGACTTTAAATTTGATAAGAACTTGTAATTGTAAATTTTTTACGACAAAACCCGTGGGTACCCATGAACCCGCGGATACCCAACGGGTTGGGTTGGGTTTGAGTTTTTCAAACCCAGTGGGTTTTACCCCGGGTTTTTTTCAAAGATAAACCCATGGGTTTGGGTTTGGCAAAACCCGACCCAACCCGACTCATTGCCATCCCCAATTACAACCAAATCAAAATACCAAAAAACAAACCATACCAAACCGGGCAGTCAATTCGGGTACCGTTCTAACGTTCATTGAAAACATATCATTTTAGTGCAATCCACCTATCGTAACTCATCAAAATCATACGCATCATCATTCCATGGCATCATTACAAATTACAACTTCACAACCCACAAACACTAACCCCATTGCATAATTACAACCCATAACCAGGGGAGTGGCCGGGGGGGCCATGGCCCCCCCGAGAATTTCAGGGACACGAATAATATAATGTAGTGGTATGAGTAAGATACAAATCTTGTTATAGTCTAGTGGTGGAAACTGTCATTTGCATTCAGGGAGTTAGCAGTTCGAGTTCTATGGCCGACTGCCCGACTATGTTTTAATAATTTTATCCTTTATTGATGTTTTCTACCTTTTGTACACATTTCACTACCTATAATTTCAGTTTTCCACTTTAGTTCCACTTTGGACTAAATTTAGACAAATGTTTTATTTTCTTTATTGTTCAATTATTATTTATTGAATTATCAACTAACTTAGTATGTCCGTCTTGTGTGATATGCGATCTTGCAAGAAAGTGTTCCCCTTTAGATTATTAGTCTTGCTTTGACTCTTCTAATTTCTACTGCTAGTGGTGAACAGACTTTTTCTATCTTGCAATTAGTGACTAAACAATGCAACAAATGATTGATGATTTTCTCGCCGATGGTCTTGTTATTTAATTGAACGAGATGTCACATATATGATATTTTGAGTGATGTGATAATTTAAAAGATGTTGTGTACATTTAAACTAATAAAATATATATGATATTTTCTTATAGTATTCTTTTGCTTGAAAAAAAAAATTCGGCCCCCCCGGACTTGAATTCCTGACTTCGCCCCTGCCCATAACCACCACCACTCCCACTAATCAAACACACCAAGCCACACATTATATTTACAAACCCACACCAAAAACTCAATACGGCCGCTCCCCGACATAGTTCCCGGGAGGATCGTAATTACACGTCATGAAAACATCCCCGCCGTCGCAAACCACACGCGCGCACCCTACGCGAGTAGTCTTCCTCCACACAATCTGCGTATAATGCCCGCACACCTCCCCATCCGCGCAGCTGTTCGCCGCATAATCATAGTACTTCTCCTCGTCCGCCCACGCGCCCACGGCGTCGACGGGACGCCACCCGCCGCCGCTCCCCCAATAAATGTTCTCTCCCAGCTGGAACCCTCCTTCGGGGAACGAATGCTCCAGCCGGCAGTCGCCTTTCCTCTGACCGGCCCACCACCGCGCGTACTTTTCAAGCTGGAAGTCCCACGCCAATGGGAGCTCCCACTTGGACGCGCGGACAAGGTTGTGGTAGAAGAGGAATTCTAACGACTCGGCCGCGCAGCGAAAGCAGAGCTGCTTGGAGACCTTGTAAACGGTGTCGTTTGATGAGGACGGGTTTAGGGTTGGGATGACGTGGTCTGAGGAGGAGGAGGAGGTTGATGTGGTGGGGAGAATGACGACGAGGAATAGGTACACTACGGGAAAAATGGCCTCTTGCAACTCCCACAAATGTGTTGCGTTATGTATTAAAAGAGTTGCGAAAATCTATCGCAACACTTTTGGTAGGGTTGCATATAGTGGGGGTTGCAAAAAGAATAGGCAACTGTTTTTCCATTTTTCGCAACCCAAATATAAAGGGTTGCGTATCCTTACCTCTTACGCAACACCACTTTAGGCAACACGTTTCACAAGTTTTGCAACACATTTTTGTAAAATGGGCAACGGTATTTTTAACTTTTAGCAACAGTAAAATTTGTATATGTGACGAGTTTAAATCGTCACGAATAACTAACTCAATTGTGACAACATTGCTCGTAACAAAAATTAAAACTTGCGTGACAATATTATCGTCAATAAATTTTTTTTTTGTGACGAGGTAGTCCAGTCACGAAAACTATCATTGTGACATGTTTAACTGTCACGAATAGATACATGTGTGACCATAATTATGTCACAAATACACATTGTGAAATTCCTCGTAAGATTTAGGGGTCGCGTTGGTTGTCACTAAAGTAACTATTTGTGACGAAGTTTACTGTCACGTATGTCCCCTATGTGTGACGAATTTCAATCGTCACTCACAATATACTTTTGTGATTATCTAACTTTCACAAAAGAATCATTTTGTGACAATTATTTTTATCACGAAAACACCGTACGTACCACAAAATGACGTCAATTGTGACCAATATTTCGTTGCAAAAGGATATATTTGGTGACAACTTTACTAATCACTCAAAGCAGCATTAGTGATAAATTGACGACACGAACTTCGCAAATCCCTTTCATTGGTGACCAACCTTTCATCGCAAAAGGTTAGCTTTTGTGACAACTTTGCTAGTCACTAATAAATCAATGGTGATGCATCACTGAGTTATCACAAATGTATTTCTATTCTGACAATAAAATTATCTTTTCAGCCTTCTTTTGTGACAAGAGATGATGACACGAGTATACCCCAAAAATGATGATAACGTATGTCCTACATGAGTGCATTTTGTGACAAGATTTTAGAACACATATTGCTACAACACTCTATTCAGTGAGAAGATGTGTCGTCACTTCTATTAATTGCGAGAACATGTTTTGTCACAAATTTAATGGTTTGACGACTAACGAGCTTCTTTAGTGACAAGAAATTAAAATACGAATATAGTCATTGGTGAAACAAAAAATATATCATATTTTGTGACAAGAATGGTCACCAAAATAAAAAAAATCAAATTCACTAGATAATAGGGGAAAAAGTCTTAAACTCAAATTTGGCTACTAATAATTCTAAATAGTATTGAAATCAATCAAAACCACAAATCTAACACTAATGAGAGGTTTATTTATCTTTATAAATCATCCTATTTTTTCGGACGCAACAGTTGCATCATGTCTTCATCATGTTGCTTTTGCAGGTCAGCAAACCTTTCTTCCCATTTCTTGTTCTGCTCTGCTAGCCGGGCCTCAAACTGTTGGTTTAACTCTGAATAGATCTCATTTCTTATCCCAGCTCTAACTTCTTCCCCAACCACAGCAATTTTCTCCCGCCTAACACGTCGAGACGAGAGCTTGCCCTTGGCTTTAAGTATTATCTCTTTGTTAGACAAATAAGTTCCTTGATTGACTATCTCTTTTATTCTTTCCTGTAAAAAAGAAAAAGAAATTATTCTATTTTATGATTTCAGAATGAAGTGTATATAAATGTAAGGCATTGAAAAAGTCTATGAAAGTTTACTTACGTAAATTGCTTTTGATGCCTCATCACACCATATCATCTCTCCTTCTTCATTCTTCTTCATATGTTGAGCACGCCACACTTCATCAACGGACTTCTTAATTCCAGTTTTTGGATCTATCTATGATTTCGATTTCATTATTCAACTTAAAGAGTGTTAACAAAACTAAAAATGTGATATGAGGTAAAAAAAATAAATAAATTTAGAATTTAAAACTAGAAGATCATTACCATATTAAATTCAAATTCATCATGAGATCTTGATCCACACACATTCTTTACTTTCACCTGTGATCTATTCTTCTTATTTCTCACACTCTTTTTCTGTATAGCTCACATTTTAGGATTAATAATAAATTCAAATAAACATATTCTAAAAGACTTGGAAAAAAATTTAATGATTAAAATGTTCACTTACTTTGAAAAGCTCTGATCCCCAATTGACAACAGCTTGCTTCCAATCTTCTTTATCAATGCCGTCAGGAACATAACTTTCCCTTTCATTTTGATCCATCTCTTGAAATTTCTTGCGTAAGTTGTACAGCGTAGTTGAATATGATTTTTTCATTTTCTTAAATATAAAAGATCTTAGCTTCTCACTGCAATTGCTCTTGAATTTCTCCTACAAACAAAGTAACTCAAGAGTATAAGATAAGAATAGTTCAATATGCAAAATATTAACAAAAAATGAAAAGTGTGAAAATGATTGATCGTACCTCCACTAAGGAGCACAATTTATCACCAATTGTTTCTTCAACCTCATCCCAATTCGTGGCACTCAACTTAGCATGTTTTTTTATTAGAACCCCACAGAAACTAACTAAGTGCCGAGCATTCTTACCAACAACCTCTGTCCCTGTGTTGGGAAAATAAACCTCTAATTTTTTCCCATCTTGGGTTGCTAGCACAACAGCATTACATGTTGTGATCCCCCTCTTATTCTTCACTGTAATAGTAAATACGAGACAAAGTTTTAATGGCTTGATTTAATAATAAGAGCATATTAAAATATAGTACTCCAAAAGTATTAAGTAGGCTAACTAGAAAACGACGTTTACATCTAATTAAACTATTAACCAGCAAACCAGAAATCAACAAACAAAAAAGACTCAATGAAAAAAATGAGCAGATTTGTATTACAGTGAATAAAAAAAAGGACTCCAATTAATTAAGTTGACTAGTTACAAAGCAAATCATAAGCATCGCCGCTCTATATCCCAGGACTTGTGCATTTTTTAATGCGTATCATTTAACCAAAAAATGGTACTTTTTTAATATTGATGTAATCTTATCTTAATGGAAAATTGCCCAATGAGATAAATAATACAAGCCTATCAAGCAGCCTAATAGAGGTCGGACTGTGATTTCTATTCCTAGTCGCTCCAACTCATCACAAACGTGTGACGTACTCCGCCAAAATAAAATTTTGGACTCGTTATCAAATAAAATTGGGAGTTTGCAGTAGGGATTCACATTCACATAAAATTAAATACGGTTCTTTGGCAATTAAAAGATGAACACCCAGAACGAGAAATAGCTTAAACAACAAACTAAAATTTCACGTACCTTTTGGAGGGTCCGAGTTAATTTCAGAGGATGGAACAAATGAAAATTCTTCTTGCATATTCTCTCCTTCCATCATGGTTTCATCCGAATCATATTCGGCTTCAGTATGAACAGATGGGGATGGGGAACGGGTCTCATCTGAATCGTAATTGGCCTCAAGTGATCGTTTTCTTCCTTTTCTCTGGTATGTGGTGTAAGCAGAGGACGCCATTGCTGCAAGACAGATAAAGAGCATACATACGGAATCAAACTTACGTGTGAAAACATGAGAAATAAGGAAACAGTTGATCATCATACCTTGTAGCTTGGCCCAAGAGTAGAGCAAGAAGATAACGACAATGAGAGAGTGGGAGTCCTTGTTGAATATTTGCTGGCGGCTGGAAAGGAGAAAGGATTGGGGTTTCGTGAAAGTGGTAGAGTGAAAGAAGAAGGGTTCCTCTTTTGGTTGTAAGGGTTTATTATTAAGTGTTTAGGTAAAGTTTTCCTTCCCAGTATCCCCGCAGATTTATTAAGTATAATTTCATTAAATTATTTAATTATTAGATAAGTAAAGGAAGAGGGAAAAGCAGATGACATGGAATTTTTTTATTAGGCCGTATAGTTCTATTTCCATATTATGCATAGGAATCTCTTCTACTTTATATTTCCTTCCCAATATCTTTTTCGCAAAAATCTTCCTCCCCAATATTTGTTAATAACCAAAATTATCTCTTTTTTTTCCCCTAAATGTCTAGTTTCTCTGTTTAGATACTTAAAATTTTTATTTGCTCTCATATTCATATATAACTAGACAAGAAAGCATGCTGACCAGTGGTGACCACAAGGGTGACTTAATGGATGCTCGAATACCCGTTTAATGATTCGTAGCAGTAATGAATATATGTTATAAACTTGTTTACAATCATTTACAAAATGAGTTATTTGCTGAAATGATAGTAGTGAGTTTATATAAATGATGTAAGGACAATTGGAAAATTAGACTAACCCGAATCATTTATTATTCTATTATACAAGATTTCATTTTCGAGTTTTGAAAAGATGGTTGCCTAATTCCAATACAAGAGGTGTCTACTGGCACAAGTCAGCTGAAGACTGTGATTGATGAGTGAGTAGGTGGCTTAGGTCTACCTCTCGGTGGAAAATTTCCGATACCGATTTACTTGACTCGATGGATATGGATAGGGCCCTCCAACTCATACACGAAGTTGTTCCTATGAAAGATTATGGTGATTGGGTATCCAGTCAATTGATCCCACAAACCAAGGAAACTTAAGAGGAAAGGAAAGAATAAGTGATCCCCTAAAGTATTCGGCATCGTTGTAGAATCATATCCCAAGGATAGTAAGCCTTTGTCAGTAGGGGAGCAAACTGTTATACCTTAGAAAGTAAGCGAACAACATTTCTTCTATGTAGGCATGGTGTTTCCTCTCGACTGAAATGAGTCATTTGGGACTTTAGTATGGACTTATTGACTCAAGCGTATTTTTAGCAAACGAGTCAAATGATACCGATGACTCAATTAAGTCATTTAGTATCAAATGACTCATAAACGACCCCAAGCGTGTTCATTGATTGAGGAATTGCACAATGTTTTAAATTATGATTATTTTAGTATAAAACTTAACCTTTAACGTTATGATACAAGTTCAAGTTGTACCTTGAAGTGTTAGTGCTTTAAAGTATAAATGAAGGGCTACTCAGACATAATTTCCAATGCTTTAAAGTATAGTTGAAGGGCAATCATATTACAACTGTTTTCTCGATGTATTTCTCAATTTGAGAATGAAAATTGAACCATACATTCATTTCCATGGAAGTGGTATTTTTAGATAATAATCATAATTTAAAGCTGCTAACCTTATTGTACGTCTATCCAGTTCTGATATTTATAACATAAATTAACCGGAGTTTTGGGCATCATACTCTATCCTAACTTCTAATGACGTGAACCCAGTCTGTAATTATCTAACCTAAACCATAAAATTTAATTTAATCTACGAATAATAATTGAGAGTTCTCATTGGTCCAAATATAATGAAGTACATCTAAATAAGTATATCTAAATAAGTATAAACACACGCTTATAACATAAGTGAGACCTATGATAACCTTATTCATGTTATCACATATATTCATAAACTACTTAAAATTAGAATATACCATAATAAAAGACAATACAAATTCCTCCTGCCCAAAGGGCAAGGTGGAAGCGCTTGTTTGTTCCCATTAAAAAAAAAAAAGCGCTTGTTTGTAAAATGCAGCAAGTAAAGAGGAGTCGCCTCTCCGTCGTAATCGGCCATTCACCTCTCCGTCTATGGATTTGGGGGAAATTCTTTGCAGCCAAAGTCCAAGCAAAAAATCAAAAGGAAGGCGGGAGATAATCACAAGAATATTGGCGGGTGAACCAAATCAGGTTTTAGGTTTTTTTCCCTCTCGATTATCTGCCTCACCTAATTACTTCTATCCTGCTCGACTGCTGGTGGCTCAAAGTGATGGAAGGATGTTGCCGCCAATCGTTGCCGCCAAAATTAGCAAATATAATGGGATTCAAGAATTATAAATAGATTTGCTGATATTCCAAGGGCTCACGCAATAGCTTTCTGATCCCCATCTTTGGAGTCGTATTTGCCACTGCCGCTGACTCAAATCAGGCAAGCTCCTTTTGCTATTTCTTTTCCTTCCGTGCTCCTTATGCATATGATTCCGATTTTCCTTATTTGTTCTATACATAAATGGTGATCTTCACCTTCTGTGGGTCTATCCAAAACAACCATATAGATTGCTTTATGGGTTTTGTTCTAGAGTTCAGTTCCTTGCATGCTACTTGGTCTCTTATATTCTTTGAACTTGGTAAGCTATTCCAGGGCTTTGAAATTTGTGGAATTAACAAGCCGACTTAGATTATAATGTGAGGATTCGGGGAAGACTGGTTGTGGGGTGTTCCTGATTTCGATGATTAGAAGTGTGTTTATCTTATTGGGGATCAAAAAGCAGCAAGGTTTTGGCATCAGCCCGGTGTTAGCATCAACCTCCCTGTTTTGATGTTTGAATCAGGTGTGATGGCTAGGGCTAGTTGTCAAATGCTTTTCACCGACTAAAGATTTCTCTCTATATCACTGGTTTTCTGCTCACTAGGATGTTAGACATGAGGTGTGTGAACTGGAGCAGATGATCCAATGGATATGCATTAACTTAGGTCCTCCAACTCCGACAAGATGAGCACGGTAACATAGCCACCATGTAGAGTTCAGTTTATCCAATGGATATGCATTAACTTAAGTTGAGCTGAGGAGTCTTGATTTATGCTCTGTGTTTGCGACAGTTGGGAGTTTATGTCCTATTTTGAAACGTACTTCAGCTGCAGATTGTTACATCTAGTGAGTCATGGTTTATGTTCAAATTTCACCTCTCTTTTCAAATGTTATGTGTTGGTGCTTTTCAGATTCTCGTGAGTATGCTTCGCTCAAATAAATCAACAAATGAGAAGAACAAAAGTAACAACAGACGGAGCCCATTGATGAAGAACTCTAAACTGACAGCAGGCGGTACTAGAATGATTGGATTACATTCGAAGAACAACAAAGAGAGGCGAGTAAGGGATCACGATGGAAAGGCAGCTACGCAACCCCAAGAATTGATAGAAACTGTACAACTCTCCAAACGTGTTGCTGGTCACTCAAAGAAGGTATCCACATTTTCGGAACCTCTTCCTAGGAAGACGACCCAGTTTAATGCCCCTCGAGATTCTTTTTCACAACACAAAAGAGTAACTTCTAGTGGGCAGCAATCACTTCAGCGTAAGAAAGAAATCATTGAGCAAGTGCGTAAGAGAAATACACCCTCTTCGGCAGATATGGAAGAAGATGAGAACCCCGATAGTGGGGAATATAGTCTCTATGAGTCGAGTGATGAAGACCTTATTGGAGAAGAAGTTGAAAATGAATCTGGACGAGAAGCTGATAATCCAACTGTACACAATAATGGTATGTACAATTTTACATGACCAACTTTATTTCATTTTACTATCGAGATTCTTAGTTTGCTTATTCACCGATTATGCATTAGTTGTTAATGTAGTGCAAAAGAGAACTAGGGGTCCTACAAGTTGCATGGAGATTCATGCTGTTGAGATGGACGAACGCCATACTATCACTGTTAACGAATTCGGACAACCTATTGGGGACGATAAAAAGTTCAGCAGCTTTTTGGGGACCGTGGCACGAATTGCTACAAAATTTCACGTTTGCCACTCAAATTAATTAATTCCATTTATAGTCACTTAAATTAGGTTAACACTCCAAGTTTGGTCACTGGCCGTTAGTCTCCGTTAATTTTTGCTGATGTGGCGGTCAACTCTTATAGTTGACCGTTAAATACATGACGTGGCAATTAAAAAATTAAAAAAATTAATTTTTAATAATTTCCACCTCATTATTACAATAAATTAAAAAATAATTTGAAAATGTCACAATAATTAAAAAATAATTTCCACCACATTGCAAGAACTGGCGTCGGATCGACCCCGACGGCTCTGCCTCCGCCTCGAAACCCTCCCACTCTAAAGTATCGATTCCTCATCGCCTCCAGATCCCCGACGGGGTTCCGGAGAGATCGACCATCAACGGCGCGTTGGTCATCCGCAGCTGGGAGAGCGGATGGTGCTTCTAGGGACGCCGGCAAGGCCAGATATTCGGCTGCTACAATCTCCGGTTCTGCTGGCCGACCAGCTTCGTCCGACTCTCCGAATCCACACTCAACGATACGATGGTAGCGGCGGCGGCCATACGAACAGGGATCCATGCTACAGAACTTATAGAGAAAGAACAGATGCACCTAGTAGCTAATCTTTTAAAGCAGATAAAACTTGCAGCCATAGAACACCCCTGATAAATTCTAAGCACCCAGATCCAGGCTTCCACATGTAAAAGATTAAGTGCTCCCTCTCTTGCACCGACAAATTTGCAAAATTTCATTAACCCATGAATTTCTGCTGCCGGAAGCGCGATGGAGCTTCCCCGATTCGTTTTCCTTGTTGCCATACCTGTATTTAATTCGGTTTGCGTAGCTCTTGATTCACGGGATTGTTCTAAAGCAGAGCTTTCTTCTGCGCAAAATGTCGGTGGTGAAACCGGAATGGTTGTCGTTTTTGATTAGATGGTAAAAAAAGAAAAGAAGCTTTTTTCAGCTTTTTCGCAAACGAACTCCCATAGGCCAATTATCAGAACGAAAACCCCCATCGATTCCTCTGTCTTTCCTACTTCATCCTCGCAACCAACCCTAGTTGACGGAGACTGATCAATAGACAGGTGTGGCGAGAATCGGTTCTCGAGTCTAACCAGGTTTCTTCTAAGCAAACTCGGCGGGAATAAGAAGCGTCGCCCTCTGAGTACTCGCCCGCAGCAACGAGGACGACAGCGGCTATAGGTTCAGGCGGGCAAGGCGGAAGTGGTGCAGCTTGGTCGCCGGCGCCGGCCAGAGTAAATAAAATTTTTATTTTTTATTTTTTAATAGTTTTGAAAATGAGGTGGAAATTATAAATATATTAAATATTATTTTTATAATTTTTTAATTGCCATGTCACACATTTAACGGTCAAAGATCAGAGTTGACTGCCACATCAGCGAAAGTTAACGGAGACTAACGGAGAGTGACCAAACTTGGACTGTTAACCTAATTAAAGTGACTATAAATGGAATTAATTAATTTGAGTGGCAAACGTGGAATTTTGTAGCAATTCGAGTGACCAAACTTGCAATTAAGCCAATTTGCTCCATTGAATTATATTTCATGGAAGGATGTCCCGATGGAGAAAAAAGAAGACATATGGAATTATGTAAATGTATGGTGCTGCTTTGGATCTATCTGATAGTTAATTAACATATTTTACTTTTATGATTATGAGATTTTGTTGTTTGTAGACCAAGTATGTTGTTCCAACCACCTGTAAGAAGTGGGTTTTGGAGGCAGTGCACAGTGCATGGAAGGGACATAAGAGTAGGACAAAGACATCAATGAACAAGTATGCAACAAGGAGGGAAAATTAAAGGAAACACACTGGTACCAAATATTCAATGCAAAGAAGATATTGTATACTAAATAGAAGCAAGAAGACCATCTTACTCGATATATGCAGACAGCTCAGACAAGTTATCCTGACAATTGATGATGACATATCGCCGAGCTTGGGTAAGAACCTCATCATTCAATTCAATTAGTTTACCCTTCCCATTCTTTTTTGCTCCAAGCGGTCTGCCTAAAATTGGGAATAAATCTGCAGAATTTTCCCCTGTGACAAATCCTTCATGGTTCCTGGAACTTCGAGTGAACCTTGTATCACCATTATCACTCAAATATCTTGAGCAAAAGATTAAACATTCCTTAGCAGAGTTCCCTTCAGCTATGCTTGCTTCAGGCTGATTTCTATTCTTCACAAAATCCTTCAAGACACCCAAAAAACGCTCAATTGGGTACATCCACCGAGTTTGTACAGGCCCTCCCATCCTAACTTCTTCGACCAAGTGAATTGGTAGATGAACCATAACATCGAAAAAGCTGGGTGGGAAAATCCTCTCAAATTGACAGAGAGTCTCAACAATTTCAGTTTGCAACTTATCCAACTCGCTCAATGATATGACCTTTCTACAAATGGCTTTGAAGAATTGACCAAGCCTAATGACAGCTATAGCAACATTTTTGGGCAAAGTCTTACATACTGCGACTTGAAGCAGGTATTGCATCATAAAGTGCGCATCATGACTCTTGTACCCAGATAGTTTCCTCTCCTTTAGGTTGACACAATGTGAAATGTTTGATGCAGCTCCATCTGGCACTTTAGCTCCTTTTAAAACCTGACAAAAAATGTCTTTTTCTTGGTTGGTTAGCCAAAAGCAAGCTCTAGGCAGTACACTCTTCTTACGATTTGATGATTCAACCGGATGAAGCTTCTTCCTGATTCCCATATCACGTAAATCCAGACGAGCATTCAGATGATCTTTGGTCTTCCCAGGAATGTCTAACAATGTTCCTAAAACATTTTCAAAGACGTTCTTTTCTATATGCATCACGTCAAGATTATGACGCAATTGATTTTTCTCCCAATAAGGCAAATCAAAAAAAATGGACAACTTATGCAGAGGAAATCTTGTCTCACCTTTCTTATTGTCCCTCTTGCCAAAGTCATTGATGAATCCTGATAACTTTTCCTTGATCATCGAACCAGATAAAGGTATAGGACTCCGCCCAAACTCAGTTTTCCCGTTAAAAGAACTCCTGTCCCTCCTCCATTCATGATCATCATCAAGAAACCTACGTGTCCCCATATAACACATCTTATTGCTGTGACTCAACCGCAGAGAGCATGTATCATAATTACAATTTGGACACGCATAATATCCTTTTGTGCTCCAACCAGACAACATGGCATATCCCGGAAAGTCACTAATGGTCCACATCAAACAAGCACGCATATTAAACATTTGCTTGCTATGAGCATCATAAGTAATTACTCCCTCACTCCATAGCTTCTTCATTTCATCCACAAAAGGTCCTAAATAGACATCAATATCATTCCCTGGTGATTTTGGCCCTGGGATAATCGAAGACAGAACCAAATACTCTGGTTTCATACACATCCAGGGTGGCAAGTTGTAGATTGCGACTACCACGGGCCATGTGCTATGATTACTTGTCATAGTCCTGAACGGATTGAAACCATCAGAAGCAATGGCAATCCGAACATTTCTACAATCAGCTGCAAAGTCCGGATGCAAGTCATCAAAATCTTTCCATGCTTGACCATCTGCAGGATGCCTAAGATTCTCATCTTTGATTCGCTTTTCCTCGTGCCATCTCATGTATGTGGCTGTTTTCGAAGACATGAACAACCTTTGGAGTCTTGGTATCAAAGGAAAGTAGCGGAAAATCTTAGCAGCAACTTGTTTCCCGGAAACATTATCATCTTCACCACAATTCCCATCATCCTTAGGGGGGAACTTGTATCTAGACTGGCCACATTTTCTGCAACTCTTCAGCTTACTATCATCATCACCATAATATAGCATACAATCTTTTGGACAAGCATCAATCCTCTTGTAGTTCAACCCTAAACCCTTAATCATTGTTTTCATTTTAACAAATGATTTGGGAATCTCAGCATCAGGAAAAGCCTCGGTCAGCAAAGAAAGTAGAGAATCGAAAGAGGAGTTACTCCATCCATTGAGGCACTTTAGAAGATATATTCGAATGGTGAATGAAAGCTTCGAAAACTTTTCACAGCCCGGATACAATTCTTTATCAGCGACTTCTAATAGAGTGAAAAAGTGTTTCGTCTGTCCATCAGGCTCTCCACCGACAGTAGCTGCAAGGTCACTTAATAGACCATACATATCATCATCTTCTACCATATCATCATTGTCACTATCTTCAACTTCCTTCTCTCCGTGGAAAGTCCAAATAGAGTATTTCTTCACAAATCCATGACAAATAAGGTGTTCATTGACGACATTTCTGGTTTGCCAAAACATATTCTTGCACTTCACACAGGGACACAAAATCTCATTCCCCTCAGCTGATTTAGCAAATGCAAAGTTCAGAAAACTCTCTACTCCATTACGATAGGCGGTACTCACTCGTGCCTTCGACAACCAACTCTTGTCCATTTTCAATAAATAAACTGCAAAATGAATGACCTGGATTAGTAAGTTTATACACTAAGGTCAGGACAAAATAAGTACAATGAGGAAAGCTGCAATTCCAACAGAAAATCAATATAAAATAACCAGCAAACAAGATCAAAATCAAAATTCATCACAATTAGTAAATTTCAGCAGAAAATCAACACAACTGATGTTTAATGAAAAGAGAAGCATTTCACAGCGAGGCATTGACACTAACAGCATATCACTTTTCTATCAATTGCTGCTGTGAAAATGTTCAAAGACTGGGATTGAAATGAAACCCAACCGAACATATATTAAGCCTTTAACCGTACAAATCACTTTCATAAGGAGAGTGTGGTTGAGTGAAGAACAACGACTGAACTCTGAGGTACATTTCGATCCTACAAGTTCAGCAGAATGAAGAACATAGCTGCCCCAAAAGGCAAACCTCAGAGGCCAAACTGAGATCCGCAAGGCCCTTTCACAAGCCTGCAGCTCGCTCTCGCTTCCTTATCCACGAAAACTCTGAATTTTTTCAGTTGGGGTATAAACTATAATAAATCACACCAAGGGTAAGAAAGCAGCATTATGCCCAAATTGAAAACCTCTGCAGAGCTGCCTCTCGGCTCTTCTTTTAGTTCGCTAAGAGCAGCAGTTTGTGGATCTTCACTCTCGTCAATGCCACCCTGCCACAAGTAGTTGTTATTGTTAAGAATAATGGGACATAAACCATGATGGAGGTACATGGAGTCTGTATGGATCTCAATTACCTAACTCCAAATTCAATCTCCTTTTTGATGCATATATAGTCTCAAAGTTGCAATTGCTCTGCTATGCTGCTGTAACCGCCTAAGTTTGAAACTTAATTTTTCTTTTTTTATTCATAACAAGTTTCATTTCAGTATATAACTACTAGACCGAGCATGATATATAATGTACTTAACCCGCAGGGCTTGTTTGCTTGGTGGATTTGGTGATGGATTTGGTGAAGGATTTGGATCCATCATGGACTTTGTCCAAAATCCATTGTTTGCTTCATGATATATAATGTACTTAACCGAGCATGATATATAAAGCCCTTAAATCATACCGTCCCCATAAACCCACAAATTAGCACAGTAAGCAGAGAGAGATAAAGAACTCCACCCAAACAAGGCATTCAGGAACACATAATAGTCAACAACACATAATAGTCAAGAACACAAGCGACAATGAAAGAACCACAACATATATTGCAGCAAACAGCAGAAAGAACACTCGACTCAAACCCCAGGCTACCTTAATTTTTCCCCTCTAAGGCAGCACTCTTTAGAACAAGCTCAAGAACAAGCTACAATAACCGAAACCATCTTCAGCTTTTAAGCCAGCGAAACATAATCTACCTTTACAAAGCAAGTAGAACCGCTACAGAAGATCGGGTGAAAGGAGAAAGGAGAACCCACCGCGGTCGACGGTCGAACAGGAATCTGAGGATGATTCTTGATGGTGGGTTGGGTAACGAAATTCGTACCGTTGTTCTTGGGGATATGACCTTCAGAGGAGGATTGATGGACTCTGATTCCTAGTTGCTGGCCGGACCTCTGCTGCTCGTCGATTTTGCAGCAGATAAACACAGGGGAAGCTTTTTTGTGAGGGCAGAAGCACAAATTTTTGCGATAGAGGAAGGAGAAAAGGGAGGTAAAAGTTGGGTGGGTTTTTGTTTGCTTTTCCTTTTCTTTTCTTTATTTGGTTCCAAGTTGGGTTTTTTTGCTGTTTACCTTTCCTTTGCTTTTATGATTCGGATGTACCTTTCCTTTGCTTTTAGGCAACAGTAAATTTATTTTGACATATGTGTTGTGTTAAGAGAATAATTGCAACCTATAATTAAATAGAGTTGCCTAAACTATCCAATACGCAACTCCAAAAAAAAGTGTTGTCGTAACATATTTAACGCAACACTTTCAAGTAGTGTTGCAATCCGAGTGTTGCAAGAAGGGCTTTTTCCCGTAGTGGTAGGAGAGGAATTGGGTTTTCATTTTGGTGATGGTGTGATGGGCTTTTTTTTTTTGTGACACATTTTGATGGACGACGTTTATATATAGAGAGAGAGGGAAGAGAGTTGAGAGATGGTTCAATCATTCATGATCATGGGGGAAATAGTACAGGGAGGCAAGTGAGTGAGTGAGTAATAGGTTGTGGGGTTTGTGTGATTGATTATCTCGATGAAGTCCACATGCATAAATCTTGTGGTATGTGTAGACAGATAATGCGGAGGTGATAACATGTTTCGATTTCGGGATATGTAGGTTTTAAACAGTGAGGTTATGAGATATAAAGAACAAATGGTTTATACGCGGTGTTATGTTAATACACGTGTTTTTCACAAGAGGTGAAGGGTGAACATATTGCAGACAATCGTGCCACATATCACAATGATGAGTGCGAGGATCATGTTCAATTAGTTTCGTTAAATTAGCGACGCTACGGATCAGAGCAAAAGAAAAGAGTTATAGGAAGCAACATGCATGCATGTCTCAATCACACTAATTAATGAACATGATTTAGTTTAGATAATGGTTGAACCTAACTGAGTGTAGGAGTGAGGTTCGGGGAGGAATGGGGGTCAAGAAGAACACAAGAGGGGAGAAATCGTTCAGAAAGATAAGAACCGGGGAGTTGAATGAGAAACAGAGAGATGAGAACCAGAGAATTGGAATTTTAGAGAGAGAAGTTGATGTTATAGAGATAGAATGCCTAAAATGCGATCCCCTCACCCACCGGAGTAAATGCCATATTTATAGGCTACATGGTGGTGGGTGAGTGGGTGGATTACATGACGGTACAATGACATGACCGCTGACATGTCAGGGATTTAGGCCATCCATCTACCTAGGACATGTCAGGGGCTTACCTATGACTGTATCTAGGACCTTGATGTGACCTTCCCTCGGGAAGTGTGATGACACCCTCTGCGGCTCTTTGGTCCGGTCAGCGCCTAGTCACTTCACTTGCGCGCGTAGCTTTATCCTTGTCGCGCCCGAGGTCTTCGCGCCATCTATAGTGTCGCGCCCGGCCGTGTCCCTTGTGGCGCGCGGTCCGATATGTCCCTTTGGCGCGGGGATGGTCCGATATATCCCTTTGGCGCGCGGTACATTATACGTACAATATAACAAACATACACGTTAATACCTATAATGTCCAATCCAATCATACACAACATGGATATTAGACTTTGTGAAATATATCGATCACAACTGCGTGAATCTCAGGAAGACTCCACTCCATCACAATCGTCGTTCGATATGGTTTTACAAACACTGCTATGAAGGGATTTGCTCAAAAGTGGGAATACAAACAATATGCCTACGTATTAGATATAATGCCTAGTTTAGTTTGGTGTGCATTATTGGGAGGCTAGCTATCAATGATTAAGGGAGTAGGTTTTTTGGGTTCTCGTGAGTCCCATTGTTGCACCCGTGAGTATGCTGCTGGCTGGGTTTGTTTGTACTAGGCAACACTTTGTTCTTGAGCCCACCACCACAGATCAAACAGACCATTCCAGAATGTTGCTGATCGATGAGATATGTGGCTACTGGCTACATTACAAAATCTGCCGGCCAGACGGCTCCAACTCAACCGGAGTTCTTATTAACTCATTTGTGGTCGTGGAATGATATAACATATATAGCTGCATATGAGATCCACAGGACAAAGATGAAGTGGTCACTTTTATTCTGTGGATGATGATGAGATAGCTAGGGGGGTTGTCCATGATGGTGGGACCGAATCGAATCGATGAGTGGGGTGGATTTCGAGCTTTTAAGAAAGTAGAGCATCGAACTAAAATTCTATAAGATAGACATGTACGTTTTGATAATTTTTTTCAAGTCCAATTTTAATGAGTTCCTCTCCTATTTCGATTATGATAAACTTTTGTTGATTTGAACAACTAGATTGTCTCTCGTCTTTACCGAGCAGGTAGCAGGCATAAACTTGTAACTAACACATATCACTCTGTTGTCTTCGCATTACCATAAAAAAAAGTTCATTTTTCAAAGACAATATTAGAATTCAAAGATTTCATTAATTAAAAAAAAAACAAATTTGAAGGCCACATCATTCAATTTATGGTATAAAATAGATAGAAACCTAGGATAAAGAGAAATTTGGAATTGGAATAATATTAGATGGTAGGCCGCAGTTGGAAAGACCTCATTTGACATTTTGTCCATGGGAGCCCATGAGGGGGTAAAGGTCTTTCACTTCAGCCCAATATTGACCCGCTTTTTACCTAGATGGGCTTAATTCTGTTTGAAAGAAAGCGCACTACAGTGCTTCTTCCGCCCGGCCCATTCCATGTTTCGTTGTTTCCTCCTTCTCGAAAGGAGAGAATAACAGCGCACGTGCCATTTTGTTCCTTCCCTCCCATTTCCCCCACTCTCAAGTCTCAACCAACAACCGCCGCCCATTTCCCGCCGCCGTCCGCCCCTCCATTCCTCGCCGGAATTTCCCACCAACCATTTCACCAATAATTTATCTCTTCCCGTCACGTTTTACTTGATTGATCTCGCTCCTCTGATTCCCCCCTTTAGTTTTAACGCTTGATTCACACTCTTGTAGAGTAAAGTCTCTCCCTTTCCCCCCAAAAAAGCCCCGTCTTCAGCAGGAAGCAAAACGGTTGATTACTTTACTGCTGTCGATGATTCATCGTCGGGCCGCATGATTCCACCCGATTCACATCTCGTTCTACCCGCTAGGCAGCCAGCACCGCTCCTTTTCCGCGGCTGCGCCGCCGATCGATCCTCTCTTCGGTTTGATACGGCGGCTCGATCCCGCTGCCGCCGGCGGACGTGCAGTATGTCTTCACCCGTGTGTTGCTTCGGGGAAGGCAGTTGGCGGCGGAGGAGGATGAAGGGAGGGTTGAAAGTGGAGATTGATAGTGGCGGGGAGGATGTTTTGGATGCTGGAGTTGCTGCTGGATCGAGGGCTTATCCTGAACATCTTGTGATCATGGTTAATGGGCTCATTGGAAGGTAGAGGAAAAAGGGGAAAAAGATTCAGTCTTTAGTTATGTTCTGATCTATATGCTTTCTGGGTTCTTACTAATTCTGTTGGGGGTTTTGTTTTGAACCTTATGTAGCTCTGCGGATTGGAGATATGCAGCAGGGCAGTTTGTGAAGAAGCATCCCGATAAATTGGTTGTGCACAGTAAGTTATTATTTTTTGTTAATGGTGATCCTCCAATTTCATTCTCTGAGTAGCTCTTAGGGTGTTCAGCGGCTAATGAATCTGGTGTGCATTTAGCTTTCTGATAGTAGACTGAAATGTTATCCTTGAATATGTATGTAACTTCGATATTGTGGCTTGGTTTTGGAACCAGGGAGTGAATGCAACTCATCTAAATTGACATTTGATGGTGTTGATTTGATGGGTGAGAGACTGGCCGAGGAGGTAATGTTTGGTAGCCGAAACTGTCTTATTTGTAGAGGGGGATCAATTGAGGAGGCATTAGTTTCAGAAAAATACCTATGTTGGTTAGAGTTCAGTTGATGTTGAATTGTTGGTTAATGGCTTATTTCAGGTACTATCACTTGTCAGGCATCGGCATGAAGTCCGGAAGATCTCATTTGTTGCTCATTCCTTAGGTGGGCTTATCGCCCGTTATGCTGTTGCGAGGCTGTATGAGCAATCTCCAAAGGCAGTTCAATCAGGAGATGCAGTGCAAGGTATTGGTCAGCAAACTTACGAAGCTCGAATTGCAGGGCTCGAACCAGTTAACTTCATAACCTTTGCATCGCCACATCTTGGTTCACGAGGACATAAGCAGGTACGAAATGAACCTATTGATATCTTACTACATACTGTTGGAACCAAAAAAATTATGGTCCTTAATGGCTGATTCCAAACAGTTCCCTATTCTCTGCGGCCTTCCTTTTCTTGAGAGACAAGCATCTCAGACTGCTCACTTAATCGCTGGGAGGACTGGGAAACATCTTTTCTTGACTGATGATGATCAGGGGAAGCCTCCTCTTCTCCTCCGAATGGTGAATGATTCTGATGAACTGAAATATATGTTAGTATTTATCTAACACTGGTCTGGATTTAGCTGAACATTATATGCTAAGGGAATGTGTTGCTAACTTCATTTATAATCTGTGTAGATCAGCTCTGCGTGCATTCAAGCGGCGTGTGCTTTATGCCAATGCTAATTTTGATTGTATCCTTCTTCGTATGTTCGGCTTCTCGATCAGGGTGAATGATGTTTCTAGTGTATTATGCCATTAGTCCGCTTCTAGTCCCTCTATCAAGAGTTCCATCAAAGTTAGCTATAGTTAGAAGTGATTCATGCTTAGTAAGCTCATACTAGACGGTTCACGTGCCACATGACGCATATTTTGTTAAAACTGTATAGTTAAGTGGCTAAAATGTCATTAGCTCTCAGTTATATACTATTCCGTATATCCAATCCAGTATTTATATGCTATCGTTTAGCTTCCAAACTATTCATCTTCTTAACACATGATTAAGATATGGTTGGTTGGGGGACATCATCTATCAGGCGTCAAAACGAACTACCCAAGGTGAGTTATTTTTCCCCTTTTCTTTTAGCAAACCAGTTGCTGCATTTTACCCTTAATCAAAGTTCTTCTTTATCGTCATTTTCAGTCCACTGCACTTATATTAGATGAGAAATATCCCCACATTGTCTACATTGAGCCTGAGAATACCATAAAGAAGCATGATCGAACATCTTCCACAAATCTGGTGGAACAGGCGACGGATCTAGAAGGTTGCAAAAACACTTTTTTGCTTCTTCTACGAATGGTTCTTATTTCTCAGTCTTGATGAGTTTTTACATCTTTTGTCTATGTAGAGATGATGATCAATGGTCTAACTCAAGTACCTTGGGAACGTATACATGTTAGTTTCCACAAGAGCAGACAGCGGTTGATTGCTCATAATACTATTCAGGCAAGTCTGCATGGCTAGTTAATGCTCATCTAAACTTTATTTCTCCACAATTACTCATTGGTATGCAGAAATCGGAATGAATTCTTATGTTGTCTTTATCATGCTTGTGACTTTTGCAGGTGAAGAGCTATTGGTTGAACTCAGATGGTGCTGACGTGATTTACCACATGATAGATAACTTCCACATCTAGCTCTATTGAAGTTGGGTTCTTCCCATCAACAATAGTTCAAAGATGGCCTGGATTTCTTTTATATTCTCATGTATCATGGGCATTTTCAAACTTGAAACTAATGCGGCATATGAAAGTTCACATCTAGGTAAGATATAGAGAAACTGAAGGCTGTTGTTCATTTTGCTCTTGCGTCTTGTAGATTATTAGCTTGTACATAAAAAATCTGTATTTTTTCAAAATCTGTTCATGATTTGACCATACTGGGAAACTGTACAAAGCTGTGTTTCGGTGATTGTATAATGATGCAATCTATCTCGACAAACTGCAACCTTTTGGTTTGCTACTATGTGTTAATTGCTTGAATTCCTGGTCTTGGTTTTAGCTTCAATCACCGATACGTTCATGCTTTTAGCTTCTGGAGTCTGGAATGTCTGGCCTGAGTTGCCTGTCAGGAAACTTGTTATGGCTCTGCAGAACTAGCCATACACATTTTTAAACAGCAGCATTATGCTACCTGAATCACCTGGGATTTGTGACAGAATGATGCAAGGATGTGAGGGTTAATTCAAACTAGAGACAGAACCATAAACAAGTTACCTCTACTGTAATGTTATGGTACAATCTAGTCTGTGTTGCCATCGTCTTGTCTTCGAAATGCAGCTTCATCTGAAAGTATGCCTGCAAAGTGGTCAGATCATGTTTGAATTCGATATAAATTAGAAAAAACAGACACGACAAACATGTTTTAACCTTGAAGTCATTAATTTTTCTGACTGACAGGCCTACACATTTGGCTGTAGCTTCGATCTTCATCATGGTTTCATCAATAGGATGCTTGATTCCCAACTTTGTTTTCTGATTCTTTTGTTGCTAAAACGAAGGGGGGAAAGATGAACAGAGTTGAATTGTTAATGCTCAATCAAGCTTCTTAAAGTTTCTATTTTTATTGATGGCTAACAGTGCATTTACCAAACAATTTTATTCAATTAACAAGAGAATTAGAATCTTCTAATCGTTTACAATCAAATATTTAGACTTCAATTCTCAAACAGGGCCTCGATATTGGTTTTCGTAAAAGATACTTTCAAGACTTTTGCCCACCATCATAGTGGTGCTATGACTATGAAGTAGTTGGATTGTTCTCCGGTTTCTAATATGAAAAAACTGTTAGAGTGTGGTATAAGATTCAGCATAACCTTTTTTCAACAACTCGAGTTATTGGGATCAACTGGTTTATGACATGGTATCAGAGTTGGTTTGCGACCCCCAATATTAACAGTTGATTAAAGCACAAGATATGGTGGGCCTGTGCAAACTTCAAGCCCATGAGTTGGCTTTCATTTGAGAGGGCATGTTAGAGTGTGGTATAAGATCCAGCATAACCTTCTCCCAACAACTAGAGTTATTGGGACCAACTGATTTATGACAAAAACTATATATCTAAAACCAAACACATCGATAAAAATTTTAATTTTAGTTCTTTTATTTTCGATCCAATCCAATTTAACGTGGACAATTGTCCACTCCCAAACCTAATACTTGCAAATCCCTTGGAGAAGATTACACACTCACTAGTCAGTAATTTCATAATATCATAAGTCATAACTTTCCTAGAGACAAAAACCAATCCAACCTTGTATTGGGGAATTGGGAATCCCGAAAAGATATATTCATGAAGAGCAAAGAAAAGAAGGCAATATCCAAAATTAGGATAACATTAAAAATCACACGTGGACAAGTCTTGTCAATGATAACTCTCTATCCATAATCAGAACCAATGGAGAAAAAACCCAAATAAAAAAGGCTAACGTTATAGACACGCAAATATAGTTTAAAAAAGCTTTAAAATTTGATTTTCTTCGATAAAAAATAATTAAAAAAGGTAAAATAAAGGGGTTTAGCTCTTCCACGAGATATATAAAAGACAGCTTCCATCACTCTTTCTGTTGCATTCCGTCTCTTGACGAGCTTAATCCATTTGTGAGTCCTCTCTCTAACCGTCTCTTCACTCCTGGTTTTGGTAACGCTTGTTTGCCCCTTTCCTTTCGTTTTCCAATAAAAGAAAGTATATTTTCGTGATGGGCTCTGATCTTTGTTCGCTTAGATCATGTAAAGATTGATGCTTGATAGTGCTATGGGGGGTATCGGCTTAGATATGCTGTAATGAGTTTGATGATCTGTTCGACGAAATGCTTGAATGATTTTGATGTGGGCGGGTGATCGGATTATTGTTTGTGTTTCGATTTTCTTATATGCTGAAATGGGTTTCTTTGTCATGATTATCTTTTTTTCGCGACTGTTGGATTGATTATGAAAGTTCGCGTCTTTTTCTGTTCTGGTGGATTTCCCAGTGTCTGATGAACACGATGAAAGGCGGGAGGGTAGTGTTGCTTGTTCTCCTTTGCTGGAACGTGGCCAATTTTGCAGTGGTAAGCTCGATGATCTTGTGGCGAATTTTGTTTTGGCCATTCGTTATTGTTCTTGATTTGTCGATGGTGAATCTGAGTGATATGAGTATTGCAGATAGCTGCCGGTCCACAAACTTGTCCAGCAAATCTCGAGGGACAATGTGGCGATTCAGAGGAATGGAAAGGTGAATTCTTTCCTGGAATTCCCAAGATTAAGTATGAGGTGAAGAAGTTTCCTAATCAGGCCCTTCTCTGTTTGTTAATGTGAGGCAGATTTATTATTTGTGGTTGGAACATATGGTTTGATCAGATATGGCATTGCAGGGTCCTAATAGTAAGAACCATCTGGCATTTAAATGGTACAATGCTGAAGAAGTGATTCTCGGGAAGAAAATGAAGGTAGGAAGATTCTGTGGGTTAATCTTCAATTTTTCGCTCCAAATTATGGATTTTGTTTCTCTTTGAACTTGCTGATTGCAGCTGTAATTACTGGCCTTTTTAGGATTGGATGAGATTCAGTGTTGCGTTCTGGCATACATTCCGCGGCACAGGAGGTGATCCCTTTGGAGGGCCTACCAAGTTTTGGCCTTGGGAGGATGGTACTAACTCAGTGGCCATGGCCAAAAGAAGAAGTAAGAATGATTACTTGAATGCAATCCTTCTTGTACTTGATTACCTTTTCAGAGTTTAAGTGGGAATCTGATATATTACTCTTCTATTGAAACGATGGTCAGTGAGAGCCAACTTTGAGTTCTTGGACAAGATTGGAGTGGATTATTGGTGTTTCCATGATAGAGATATTGCCCCTGAAGGCAGTACTCTAAAGGTCAGTTCAATAGTTTCAGTCTTTCAAATGTCTTTGATTTCCTTCACAAATCGTTGCATTCAGTGGAAATGAATTCTTTCTGTTGTTTATATATGATTACAGGAAAGTAATGCATACTTGGATGAAGTGGTTGCTCTTGCTAAGGAGCTTCAGGTATAATCACACAGCCAAATAAACTTTCATTGGTTGACCGATTCGTTCTCTTCGATATTTGGCATTTGGTTGGAACTTGTGTATTTGCTGTAGTGCCTGAAATTTTTGGAACCCGAGTGTTGCAGGGAAGCAAGATCAAACCCTTGTGGGGAACCGCTCAGCTGTTCGTGCAGCCTAGATACATGCATGGTGCTGCTACAAGGTAATCGATTAGTTATTGGGGTTATTGATGTTACTATGTTTGTGCTTATGGAAAATAATCCCTGGTGTCGGTTCTGGTATCTAGTTCTGAGCTTGGTGTCTATGCATATGCTGCTGCTCAAGTGAAGAAAGCAATGGACGTGAGTTTTCTGTGACATTTCAATTCATTAGGTTTCCTGCTTCTTACCCTACATTAATCACCATTAATCAAAATCGAGTATGTTGAACAGGTTACAAATTACCTAGGCGGAGAAAATTATGTCTTTTGGGGAGGGCGAGAGGGTTACCAGACTCTCTTGAACACGGATATGGAACGAGAGCTAAATCATTTGGTATGTTTGATCATTGCTCTATGATGATATGTAATGCTTTTGGAGGTGCCTAGTAGTTGAACCAAATTGATTTTTTCCTTCTTCTGATGACAGGCTAGTTTCTTCCACTCTGCTGTTGCCTACAAGAAGAAGATTGGATTCAATGGTATGCTTCCCTTTAACCTTCTCAAGTCGTTTTGGTTAACGCTGTTCAATTTTTTAGCACCTAAATTTGTAAATTCTGTTACCTTTTGTTGTATCTTAGGCACCTTGCTTATTGAGCCCAAGCCTCAAGAACCAACTAAACACCAGTATGATTGGGACGCCGCCACAGCTGCAAATTTCTTGAGGAAATATGGTCTTCTGGGAGAGTTCAAGCTCAACATTGAGTGCAACCATGCCACTCTCTCCGGTCACAGGTATGTGATTGTGTCTCTTCTTGGTCAAGCAATTTTTTTTCACCATTTAAATCTTAACAGCATCTGCGAACTCTTGCAGCTGTCATCATGAACTTGAAACTGCACGAATCAATGGCTTGCTTGGAAACATTGATGCAAACACTGGCGACCCTCAAGTTGGTAAGGAGCAAACGTTTGATCATTATGCAACAATTTTTTTTTTTTGTTTCTATGCAACAAAAGTTCCAGTCTTCAAGCATCTGCGCCAAAACTTTATTTCTTTAATCATTTTACTATCTGCAGGATGGGATACCGATCAGTTCTTGACAGACATTTCTGAGGCAACTATGGTCATGCTTAGCGTCATTAGAAATGTATGTGCTAAATGATTGCTTGTCTTTGGCTTTTCAGAAGTTAATTACAGTCGATTGCACTTCAGCTAACTTTGGATCTTCATTGTTTTGTTAGGGAGGATTGGCACCAGGAGGATTCAATTTCGATGCTAAATTGTAAGTTTCTTTCTCAGTTGTTCTGCTTTATTCCATCAATTCCCCGAGCCATGATTGTTCTGTAATTTGAAAATGTTGTCCAATGATTGATTGATACCTCAGGCGAAGAGAGAGCACAGATGTCGAGGACATCTTCATTGCTCACATTGGTGGAATGGATACTTTGGCTCGTGGACTTCGAAGTGCTGCCAAGCTGGTTGAGGTTAGTTAGACCGTTAGCAGTTCCTGCCTTTAATGTGTTTCAATTTCGAGCTCTCATCCCTTACAAGTTCTATGCACCATCCTGATCTCTTGCCCCTTATGTCCAAACCCGAAAGGATGGTGCTTTGACCGAGCTTGTCCGCAAGCGTTATGAGAGCTTCGACTCTGACATTGGGAAGAAGATCGAGGTAACACCACAACCTTTTACATCGATCCTTATATATCTCTTTCTGTCTCTCTCTCAGCCTTCTTTCGTATCGTTTGAGAGCTGAAACCTCGAACCCTTCTGTGTGATTACTACCCTTGCAGGCTGGGGAAGCCGACTTCGTGTTCTTGGAGAAGAAAGCATTGGAATGGGGTGAACCCAAGGTTCCTTCTGCC